TAAACGCACACACATAGTTCAGTTCAGTTTTCAACGTAGAAAACCTTCGATGGGTCTGACAAGGGAAAATCTTGCACGTTTAGTTTAGGAAAACCATGGTTATCTTCAAATTAAGTATTCATATATATATATATATATATATATATATATATATATATATATATATATATATATATATATAACTTGACATTAATTTTTTTTTCTCATCACCACACTGGTCATTTTCACAAGACAAAATTATGTTGGAAACTATTTCATATACTCAAATTTGACTTTTGCGTGCTAAAAAGTACTTGAGTAAGGGACGTTTTACTTAATTTGGGTCATCAAAACTCCGTCTACCAATATTATGATATAGGTAGCCTATATCTGCTGTATTCAATCTAAAACCTACAGTAGGTTGACATAAAAGCAAAACAACACCCATATCTTGTCATAGGACATTTTATTAAACAAATTTTTGAATAACAGTAAGTTCTTGACATGGTAAATATATAGTAAATCTGCTGGTTTTAAACATACAGAATAATAATAAATACAGTTATGTAGCTATAACATTACCGTTATATCTTAGGACACATCTGATTAACTTTTCATTACCTACACCAAATGTTAACTAATGATGGTACATTATAACAACTATTTATTTGTTAAACTACTGTATTGTCAAACCATGTTGCATACAAATGCATTCAACAGATTTATATGACAGTGTATTGCTGTAGAGGACAAATAAAACATGAGACAGGTGTTTGGAAAGAGTATAGTTTATTTTGTTTGACCTGCAAACTTATCTAAACAAGATAAACTTTCAGAAAACAGCCCAAAACATTATAATGTGCGCGCTCGTGAATATAACCAGCGGTTGTCTTCAACTGTTATCTTCAATGGTTGTCCTTCTTTGCTCAACAACTCAGCTGAAAAACAAAGCAAAACATTACAACAGTCAGACATAGAGCAAAGAGCATTGAATCACCAAGAGGCGACACTCTAGTGCAATTTGGGAAACAGACACTAGATAGCGCGGCCATCATTTCATATCAACACTTTTGATAGTAAGTGTTGTTTTTTCGTCTCTCAGTTTTAACGCGCTTGTTGAATAAATTAATTAAAAACAAGAACGTTCTATTGAGTGTCACCTCTTATTCATTCTAAGCTCTTTGCATAAAGTTATATCATAACAGTTACCATGGTTTCTATTTCAAACTATAGTAAACTAAAGTTTGAAACTATCGTTTAAAATAGACGATGAGTGGGCCTCGCTGCTCCCACCCACCATAACCCTCACAGCGAGGTCCCACTACCGGCCTCCCGTGTTTCCCTGAGCTTGTTTGTTCCCTCCCTAGGGCTCAAAAGCGCCTCGCCCCAGGGAGTGCACGAGTAAACCGGGCGCCAGGCCGTACCAGTGTTCACTGGATGTTGCTCGGCAGCACATTTCGAGCAACAAACACGTAATGTTTTTCGCGATATTGCGTTTATGTACGCAAACCGCAAGCAACTATAGCACAGACGGGCCCGAGTGAAGCTTCACGAAGCGGACTTCGTGAGATTGGCGTGGCTCCACTCGTACCGTCTGTATTGAACTCACCTTTGTCAAGTACAAACAGCAACACCGAACGAACTGACAACACTGAGAGCCGACGAGCTTTATAGGAATGCAGATGCAAATTTTTACAAGACACGTCACTGCTGTGAGTCTCGTTGTCATGGTGAGCGCTGAAGAGGACTCACCTCATTGGAGCAGTCACAGACTCGGGAATCTGCGTCACGGCGAGTTGCAGTCTGCTGTGGACAAAAAACATATTAAATATATTAAATATATATTTTTACATTTTTGGTGCTGTGTAATATTCTAGGATGCAGTAGAATATGGAGACAGATGAATATAATTGGGTATATGCCGAGCTAGTGTTGTTCCCATACTTACAAACTTCCGGTGACCTGTTATTGTGATTTTTTTTTTTTCATTTTATACGGTTCCTTTTACAGCATCGATGTTGTAATGTAATTAAAATACATTCAGTTAAATAAGCTTTGGCATTCATTTAGTTATTCAAGTGTAAAACGAGACAAAAGGCTTTTTACTCGCACTCGCACTCGCCCGTCAGAATCAGCAGGCTAGCGCAGAAGCTCCATTGAATATACTGGGGTAAAATAAATGCTCATATTATAAAGACATGGCAGGGAAACATGTCTTTTTAAGATTTCTTTTTGGCCTTTTTGCCTTTATTAGATAGGACAGTGTTGAGACAGGAAGACAAGTGGTAGAGAGAGGGAGGGAGGGGGTGGGGGGGGGGGGGGGGGGGGGGGGGGGGGGGGGTTGGGGTAGGGAAATGTCCTCAAGCCGGGATTCGAACTCACGACGCGCTATTGCACCATGTGTCGGCGCGCTAACCACTAGGCTATTGCACCGACAGGAAACATGTCATTTAATGCTGTCCTTCTTGTACGATCTGTGGCCCACTTTATATCGGATATCACTCAGCCAGTGGAGATCACTGATTTTTAAAGAAAACAGACCTTAAACGCGCAGATTTTTCCATTGGCATAAAGTTCACTATATATATATATATATATATATATATATATATATATATATATATATATATATATATATATATATATATATATATATATATATTATATAGTATTGTTATTATTATATTATTATTATAATTATATAGTTATGTAAGACATGTTCCACAATCAGTCAACTTTATAAAGCACCGTATGCATAAAAGTATAAGAGATTCAGTTGTAATGTAGCTTTTTACATTATGTGTCAAAAATATATATATCAATTTGCTATAAATTCATTTAGCTGTAATGTATTCGTTAACACCCTGTAAACTTGATCTGACAAATCTTGTACAAACATTAAACATGGCTTTATCACACACACAAAAGCCTGCCACTTGATCACTGAATTATTCTGTTTATCAAACTTTAAATTGCTGTCCAAATTCACTCCCAATTGTTTAACATGGCTAAAATATGACGAAAAGGTAAGATGATTTGCTCATTAAGGTTTGAATTGCCAAACACAATACACTCTGTGTAGAGATTGTGTACCTGAAGAGTCTGAAGCAACCGGGAGATACATTTGAACATCATCAGCATATGGAGACATTATGATTTATCATGACTGAACCTAATAGCAGCATGTATAATGAAAATAAAACCACAACCATTTGTATATATCATTCAGATAACATTTTTATATATGATACTAAATATTTAAAACATTAGCATTGTTTTATTACAGTAAAACTAAAACATATTGTTGCTGTACCTAAACCACAACACAAATTCTCATAAGTTTTGCTACACTAACCTAAGCTTAACCAAAATATTTCAAGAAAAATTGTGGTTATACAAACCTTAATACAGCTGATAAAAAATGGTTATTACAAATTTACTATAGCCTAATAAATCTGCCACAATTACACACACACACACACACACACACACACACACACACACACACACATATATATATATATATATATATATATATATATATATATATATATATATATATATATATATATATATATATATATACTACTTACATCAAAGATATTTAGTGTGTATGCTTGCATCTTGCATTTTCTGCTGATTCAGTAAACTTGCTCTGGTCTGCTTTATTTATCAAACGCAAGTGCCCTGTCACTAAGAATGATGCTGCTGACTGGCTGGTAAAGCGATCCTTGTGAACATAAGCAGTTTCTCACCATCAGGAATGAAGTGTCATCTGGAATATCAATTGTCATGTGATTATTTTTAAATTAAATCTGTGTAAATATTAAGAGCACAATAATAGTTTATTATTTGTATTTTTTGGAAATTGATTTGCATAATCAGTTGCTTTTTATGTATAGAATAACCTTTTTATGTAGTAAAACATGGTTAATTTTCATTAGGACATGCAATTGTCCATTAAACAGACTGAAAATGCATATGACAACACAAGAATAAATGAGCAGATCAATATAAGATATTTTATTTATTGTCATTAATATAATTTCAATTGTACATTCAGTATATTGCTCAGCCATTAAACTGACAAAAGAATCATCATCTGTAAAAAATAATCATACTAAAATAAAACATTTCTAAGGCTTTCATTTGACAAAGGCAATAACACTGAGGGTCTCTACTGAATAATAGCACTAGTCAGCACCAGTGGCATGCTTGCATAAAGTCAAACCAGCTCATTAGGATAAATTAGCTTGAAGCTGACAAGCTTAAGTCCACAGCTTCTTAGATTAAAGCCTGAGTCCCTACCTTTGGTCAACCTGATATATCACAAAGGAACTATTTAAAGGGCCCTGATATAATAAAACAGTCCTGTATTGTTGACATCTGAATAAATTAAGCTGCAATGCATTAGTTTTTATACTTTAATAGAAAAAGTTGCATAAATAGCTTTTGCAAGACAGATAGAAGATAGTGCTGTGCACAAGGTTTCGGCCTTTTTGTTGACAAAACATTACATTCATAGATATAAAGGTTACATGTATTGTTATATTAAAGGATAGAATCACTGTAAAACCCAAACAGTTAAGGTAACCCAAACTATTTGAGGAAACCAATTGCATCAAACCATTTAAGTTCAAAAACTAATCCTAATGAGTACTGTGAACTTAATCCATTTGAGTAAATGAAGCAATTAGAGCACTGTAAAACTCAATCAATGAAGAGAACTCAAACCAACTGGGTACTGTAAAACCCAATAAGTTAAGGCAACTCAAACCGATTGCTACAAACCATTTGAGTTTAAAAAAAAGAATCTATATGAGTACTGTGAACTTACTCAATTTAAGTTAAAGTAATGAAGTATTTAATTAACTCAATACCTTCATCAACACTGAGTTCAAAACTCTTTTCAAAAGAGTAGAATTAACTTTCAGTCAATTTTGAGTAAACAACACACATTTCATTTGGTAAAGTGGACTGCAGGGTTTTACAGTGTTCTTTGTTTAGCATTTGACCAGATAGAGCAAGTAACAGCATATGCCTTATTTGCTATAATCCACTAAAATATGTTCAAAAACCTTGGTTTTGCCTTTGAAGCTAGTGGCTAGCACAAAATCACGCTGGTCTGTGGACAGAGCTGTGAATGAGCGTGGCCACTGAACATACACATCCCTGAACTTGATGAAACTCTGGTTCTCCTCATCCCACCTGAAGATCTGGGAGAAAGAATAATCACTGCTCAGGATCAAATAGTGCTGCTCTTTGAACTTGACTGGCTGTAATACTGTGGCGCCGCGTGAAGGGAAGCCCTGCACTTCTTCAAAGTGTTTCCCGGTCCACTTCATGACTTTTGAGTCACCGATGTAGCAGGCGAGGGCAAGGTGGAGAACACCATTAATCCTAAAGGACTTCACGCTGACAATGTCCTCCATATTTGCTATCTCATCGAGGAGAACGAACTTCTGGCTGCTCTTGTTCCACTGGTAAATAACAGGAACCTGTGAGCGACTCACCAGTATGAGAACTGATTTGCCATCTAAATCAAGGAACTCTGCATCAGTGTCTCGAAACCACTCGTGAAGGAACTGGTATGGGTAGAAGCCGGTTTCGTTCCATTTAAACAGAGTGGTCATTCCAGCTTTGGAACTGTCCACTATAAGGAAGAACCAGTCGTCTCCAATCTGGAAGACCTCAATGTCATTTGGCTTGGACACATTTAGCATTTCAACTGCCTGAAACTTGGTGAATTTATTCTGTGCTTGGTCGTATTTGTAGACAAGGGAGCCATCGAAGAGCTGGAGGACAATGACAAACGCCTGCTCGTTGATTAAAACAGATCGGCACCCTACAGCAGACCGACCTGAAACATAATATATTAAGAGAATGAAACAAACTTCTATACCTGTTCATCATTTAGACAAATGATTATGGAGTCAAACCTGTGATGTCATCAAAAGGCCTGAATTTTGTCTCAATGTGATCCCATTCCATGATGATGCAGCTGTCTGAATTTGGAACCGCCATAGCCACATATATATCATCTTTATGAGTAAAGATGTCAGCAGACATTGACTGAGTATTCAATATCTGATGCTGAACAAAATCTGAAGGGAAAAGATTCAGACATTTTTTCACTGAACAGTTCAGTTCTTTTCAACATATCAAGATATTTGTGGGCAAGATTCAACTAAAACTAATCAGAGATATCGGAGGAACAGAAATAGTTACCTGTGGAGACACACTTGCTGTGTTTTTCTGGGACATCCTTTAATAGGACACCCTTCATGGCCGATGGGCTGGCACAGTAAACATCTGAGATTGTGGCATTGGATCGCTTCAACCACAGCATCAGCCACATGGACTCACAGTCACAGTGAAACATGTTTCCTCGCAGGTCTCTGTTTATTGGGCAAGAATTCATTAGAACAACATACAAGGCATAGCATAAGACCATTTTGAGAGATGTAAACAAAAACAATGGTCCCAGCATATTTCCTGTTTTACATTTTTAATTTCTATAGCTTCCGAGAATCCAAAAAGAGCCACATATTGATAAATAATGTTATGGTAGCTGATTTGCTTCTTTTTATAGTTAAGAAAGAGTTTGATAGCAAGCAGGAAATGTTCATGGGCCATGACCACATTGAAATGGTCAATAGATCATATTTTTGGTGCATTTTAATAAAACAGTTTTAATTCAATAAAATAAGAGCTTTGTTAAGAATAGAAATTAAACATTTAATTTTAGACAAAATATTGCAGAAAAACGACAAACTACAAAATTTACACCAAAACTGTGTATTTTTCCATATTTTTAAAATTATAACATATTAATGTGCATGAATATATTAATTTAATTTAATAATTTGCAAGTACTAAACATTAATTTGCATGTACTAATTTTTGTACCCTTATTCAGAGTTACTTTGTTAGATAAGCTAGTATTGATTAATCTGAAGTATATGCACAAATATAATATTGTAAAGCAGCCTATATGGAAAATAATAGTTCAAAAGAGAGATCTGTGAGAGGTGTACTTATTTATGTTGAGCACTGTGACCATATCTACATTATTTAAAAGAATAGTTCACTCAGAATGAAAATTGCCCTAAAATGTACTTATCTTTTCCAAAGCCATCGTTGACTTTCTTCTTTCAGATGAACACAGTCTAGTTTTACATTGTATCCGGCCTCTTGTATAGTTGTGTTGGCTAGTGGCAATATTTTGAAGCTTTCAAAGTAGTTCCCATGAGGTTAATTTGTGTTTTAGATTAATGTATTTTTTTTTTTTTTTCAAATTTAAATTAGAAACTCAAATCAATTACAAACATTCTCAACAACTTCTTGGCTGACCTCTGATTCGACATCAGAAACATGAAATTGTCCACATTCAGTTAGTTACTGGCTTTTATATTTATACTTGTTTGTCTTCTCTGACTGAAGATTCTGATAGGAATGTATCTTACCTCATAAATCAAGTCAGAGGTCAGCAAAGACATTATCAAGAACATTATTGACAGCTGCCAAAAGTCAATGATTTAAGTTTATAATTTAAAAATGCAAAAAAAAAAAAAAAAAAAAGCTACATATACACATCAGTCTTCTTCATAAGATGTGCTAACCCCTTGGTGGCAGATGGATTTATGGGGTCATTTCATTTTTAAAGTGAACTATTCCTTTTATTTCATTGTGTTTTTCCCATATGGCTCAGCATGGTATATACACTCACCAGCCATTTATTTGTTACACCTCTTTGACTGCTCGTTAATGAAAAATTCTGATCAGCCAATCATATTTCACCCTGTTGTATAAAATGCCTCAGAAATGTCTTGATAATGTCAGAGAAACATTTGAGTTGACTGTAAGCAAACAGTAACTCAAATAACCACTCATTACAATCAAGATCTGCATAAGAGCAACTCTGAACACACAAAACATGAAAAAAAACTTGAAGCAGAAGAGCTACAGCAGCAGAAGACACACCCGTGACACTGCTGTCAGCTGAGAACAGCAAATACGCAGCCTGATATATGTTGAAAAAGGTTTGTCTGGGCTATTTCTGATGTTTTATTCAGATATTAGGGTCAACATTTGGCAAATAAACAACATGCTGCATTGTGTCAACAGTTCAAGATGGTGGTGTTATAATAATGTGACGTTTACTTGGGACACTTTGGGACCCTTTACCTACTTAGTACCAACTGAGCATATGGAAACCACAGATCACTTCAGTTTTGTGTGTTTTCATGATGCATCATCAGTCATCCAAGATGTAGAGCAGTGAACCTAACAAATCTTGCGTATTTTACTGATTACAGCTGCTGACAATGATATGGTCAATGTTTTCATCTGTACTAATCGATTGGACCAGAAAAAAACTTTTCGAGCACTGAAGACCGATTAAACTCATACCACATCAAGCAGAATTTAGCATTTTGAAGTCAGTTTGTCATATATTGTATACCTTTTTGTCTGCTTACTAAGTCATTTAGCAACTTCCACACATTTCTCAGTGTCTTAGATAGCTTAAACAAGCAGAACATCGTATTTAGCGGTAGATTACTGTGCAAAGCAGGTCTTTATATTTGAGTATCTCCATCATGGCCAGGTTGCAAATCTCAAACCATCTTAAAGTTTCTTAAGATGACAGTGAGTTTGCTATGCTCTTACGGCCTCCACAGCCTACAGATCTCTCAATCTAATAAAGTACTTTTGAAATGATTAACGGGAGATTCTGATCCTGGATGTGCAACAGACAAAACTGCAGCAACTGCATAAATCTATAACATCAATTTGGACCAAAATATCTGGGGAATATTTCCAGTAGGCTAGCTTGCTAAATTTAAGCTAATAAAGAGGAAGGTGAAGCTAAAGTGGGGGTTGTGATGATGTTAATAATAAGATGAAGGTATTAATGTGGCTGGTAAGTTTGCACATTTTTAAATAGTTAACAAAAAAACAGCAGAAAAACTCACAGTTCAATCAAAGAGCGCAGCTCAGAAAAAAGAGCTCTGGGCAATGATTTTAAATTGTTGTTTGCTAATGATCTGTGAGAACAGAGAGAAAAGTTCAAAGATTTTTAAGCACAATGCACATAATAATACTTAACACAACAGCAATATGTCATATTATGTAGTGACAATTTTACAAAAATCATAATAACATTATATTAATATATATCATACTATATATATAATATATTTCATACTAGTCTTATAAATGTATAGTCGTACAAACAAATGACATAAATGTGCATTCAGTTCCCTTAATGATATACTCACAAATGTGTAACATCCCGAAGTCCTCTAAAGGCATACTTATTTATTTCTTCAATCTTGTTACCTTCAATAAATCTGGTCAGAAAAAAAAATGTAAGTCAACAAAGAATTTCAGCCAGTCTGTCTGCAGGGATATTGATAAATATGGATGCCAGAATGTTAACCAGAAAAAAAACACCATAAAGAGGTGATATTTCTGCTCATGAGTTGAGTAAAGCTGCCCATATACTTACAAATACTCCAGATGAGGAAGCCCTGAGAATGCATCCTCCTTTATTTCAGAAAATGAATTAGAACTAAGAAGGCTAAGAAAGAGAAAACGCCACGAACATGATCTTAACACCCACACTGAAGTAACACAAGCATGCCAACACAACAATGAACGCCTTGTAGCTCATATACATAAGTGTTAGTGTCTTCTAAAGCAGATAAACAGGAAATTGAATAGAATTGATGCAGCAGTCACTTACAGCAACTGCAGTGAGGGCATGAGCGAGAACATTGCCTCATTGATTTCTGGGAAACTGCAATTAACAATACTCCTAAAATAAAAACAATCAATTTTTAGAAACAACACTTCCTTCATTTATTAAATTATACTAAACGTTACGCTAATGTACAGTTTCAGCGTCGAAAACAAATCGTTTATAGGCTTAAACGTTAATCACAATATTTCATGTTTAATATCGTGCAATTATAAGCAATTTTGCTCAAAAATTATGAGGCGAAGATAATTATAGACTTACAGAGAGTTAATGTCACTCGGTATAGTCCGCGGGAGGAGAGAAGAACCGATGCAAATGATTGAATCTGTCGTACAAGTGCACCCTGAAGGACATTTGAATACTCGCTTTGCTCGGCACAGCTGAAATGAACCAACGAACAGTAAAGTTAGCAGAAGACACTTTCGAATGGAGGATAATTTGCTGTTAGTTAGATCCATGGCTTTAAAGCGGAGTGTAAAGCGCTTCTCTCCTCTGTCCCGCGCAGCGCACTGAAATGCAGCATCAAGGACTGACTTGAGAATCAGCTGCTCTGTGATGCGGTCAGTGCTCGACTGTCCCATTACAGGAGGCCTCATAACACAGCTGTCAGATCACACCACCTATACATGTATGTGTTTACTTGCCTTAAGATGTTTTTAATTGGCTCATTATTTAAATTACTTGGTTTCATCCCATCTTTTTTTTTCTTTAAGCCATGACCTTTTTAAAAATGGATTTTGACTGTTAATGCAAACAACATATGATTTAGAATAGAATTTTATGTTTATTTAAAACCCAATAGCCAAAATAATACATATCCTCCACATCTCTCCTACATCTTTTTAACTACTCTAATTCGCCTTTGTGTTTAAAATGTATACTGATTAATGGCCATGTAACACTGCAAAGGTTTTGGTGCAAGGGGAAATGGTCAAATGGAAAAGGTCTTTAACATGTATATTTTTTGGGTATACCTAATGGACGCAGTTTTTCATCAGCTATTAAGAACTTGTATTATAACCTTTACTGCTAGAAAATTATTTTACTTAATTAGATTAGTAATAAATCTCCATCACTTAATGGTTGGCACAAGATCATTTTTGAGTTAATTCCCCTGGTATATCTTAACCATTTTTTACACACAAACAGAACGTTTTTTCAGTTTGGACTCCATATTTGTATGATTTGGAACCTAGTCTTTGCTCTATCTCGCTAAAAGCAATATTTTAACTGTATTATTATCTGAAAAATAAGCAGTGTTTTTAGCCCTTTTTCTCATCGGATTTATTAAGGGTAGTCAAATATATTAGGTTTTATATATAATAAATTCATTGTTTTGTGTATTTTTCTCTGCGTGTCTTTTGAAGATATTTCTGTCAGTATTATTGTAAAAATCCAATGAACATAATTTATATATATATATATATATATATATATATATATATATATATATATATAAACAATCAATAGTCATTTCATCCTCATTCATATATCTATTTTGCATTTAGTACTAAAATGTTTACTTCAGGATAAACAAATTTCCCCATTCGAACTTATCCACAATATTTAATTTCTGTCCTATTTAAACGATTAGTTCACCAAAAAAGAGAGAAAATTCTATTATTAATTATTCATTCTCATCTACCAAACCCTTGACACATTTGTTCTTCTTCAAAACACAAATGAAGATATTTTAGATGAAACCTGAGAGCTGTCTGATCCTCCATAGACAGAAACGGTCCTGAGACATTCAAGGTCTTTTGCATAGCATAAAAATATGCCCTTCCAGCTTCTTGAGATTACTCACTTAAATCACATAGACTGAAGTGTCATATAAAAGACAGGAATATAGCAGCGTTTCCATCCAACAAGTCAAAGAGAACAAAATCGTCACTTCCTGGTAAACTGGTGCCTAATATCAACAGTGCCTAATATCCCCTATAGTTTGCTGCAGTAGGTGAAGCTGCGTCAATCTTTTCTTTATTTATTAAATGACTTGTGTAAGATGCAGAGCACAGATGCTCTTGACAGTTCTGGAGGCAATTGATAAAATAACAACAAAATAATAACACTACTACTGAAACGAGTGGGGTCTGGCTGCAGACTCGGTGCAGTGCAATCTGAGCTGCATCCGATGCTTTTTAATGGGATCACCTAACCCTAACCCTACCCCTCACAGTGACATCACTAGCTCCATTGAGTGCATTGTGTCTGACATTGCATCGCTGAGAAATGCAATCTTAGCTTGCATCATTAAGGCTAGGCGTTTTAGAATGACCAAAACAACATTTCAGATGTTTTAAAATGTCCTCAGCCTGCTGGTTTGTCCATTTACACACATTTTCATCATCACATGATCTCTAATAACAAAATCACATTTTAATCTTAGGGTAAACTAATAAGCAAATAATAATTATTATAAAAATCATACATATAAAGCATTACATGGTGGAAATACTTCAAACCATTTAAAATATTGGCACATTTTTTCATGTTTGTCTTGCGGAGTAAAACAACTCATTCTGTTTTCTTCTGATGAACACGGCAGGACAAATGAACTGAAATTATGTTATTAGAATATAATTATATTAATAGAATGCCTCAAATTAATTATATTTCTCATTAAAGATTTTAATTATCCAAATAAAATCTAGTAAGTATATGGATTTTTTTAAATAAATTATAAAAACAGTATAGCAATATGTAATAAACTTTAATTTCAAGAGTTTAAAAAAATTATCAGGATACTGGTGATAAAACAAAAGTCAACTAAAGTATAAAAAATGCAAAAATTATGCTATTATATTGGGAGGTTTTTACGCTGACATTTTTACCCTTAATAAACCTCAGTGTAAACTTTTTCATTGACAGAGAAGATCTTAATAAGTTAATTGTCCTATCAGTAATGCTTTATCTGCATTTGTGGAGGAAGTCTGACAGTGCACATAATATCCTGCCAACCAAACCAAAACAAGTGTGTAAAGTGGAATCCTGCATCTGATAATGACTCAGCTATTCACTGCCTTATGTGTTCAAGTATCAATCTACACCAACATGTATTACATTAAGATGAATGAGCGTCCTTCATTTCTCTAAGATTATACTAGATGATGCATAAGTACAGCAATAATTCTGGCTACCAATAATAAACATCAATATATGACTGCATATAATGGACTCCGTGCATGAATCATTTAGAAGCAGATCTGATTTCAGCATGTAAGTGCTTTGTCTATATGTGTGCAGGGAGGTGCTGATTGGTCTACGCTGCAACAGTCAGACACTTTTACTATGCATTATATATCAGTGGTTCTCAACTTATTTTGATGCAGACAAAACTCACAGTGCCTCAATAGATGGCAAATGACCAATTTAGACTGCAAATTCCTAGGTAAACCTGCAGGCGAATCAATACAGACAACCTCATCAGAAAGACTAATCGAAAACTCTACTTTGCCCAAAAATGAAGGCTGAGGAAATCCAGAAACCAGTCAGCACCTTATTTCAGGCTTTAAACTGAGATTGCACATGAGTACTGGGGAAATCATTTGTAAAGCTTTAAAAGTTACAACACATGCTTAAAACACATTGTAAGCCTTAAAGATCATATGACGGTCAAACACAAGGCTTCCAATTGTTGTGTCTGTGACAAATAAAATGTATTTTACAAAAAGAAAATATATTTAATGCAAGTACAATTTGTTACAAAAAAGTTTTGTGCAAATAAAATATCAAAGTACAGGTGGAGTACCAACAAAATTGCCTTCTTTCTTTTCGGCTTAGTGCCTTTATTAATCAGGGGTTGTTGCAACGGAATGAACCGCCAACTTATCCAGCATATGTTTTATGCAGCGGATGCCCTACCAGCTGCAACCCATCACTGGGCAACACCCATACACTCACATACACTACAACCAATTTAGTTTATTCAGTTCACCTATAGAGCATGTCGTTGGACTGTGGTGGAAAGCGGAGCACCTGGAGGAGGAAACCAACACGAACATGGGGAAATTCCAGAAATGCCAACTGACCCAGCCGGGGCTCGAACCAGCGACCTTCTTCCTGTGAGGTGATCATGCTTCCCACTGCGCCACCGTGACCTCCAATTGCTATCCAGTGTAATAGTAAATAGAGCAGCAAGCAGGGGCGGATTTAACCAATAAGCGAGGTAAGCGGCCACCAGGAAATCTGGGGGCCCCCAATAAATGCCTATAGTATAAATGATACCGTTATACAGTATATATCATCATTTTCCCATATATTTTCATTTCATTATATTTTGTATGATAAGCATCTAACAAATAAAATTTCAACTTTAATTATTACATCTACGCAAATTTGTCCCCTACTATCAATAATGAAGTGGTCCCGCAGCCAAAGCAAAAAAAAAAAAGGGAAATGAGAGATTTTATTACGATAAATGTAGAAAGGAGAGACAGAAAATCACCAGTATAAATAAATAGAAAATAAATAAAAGGATAGAGAGTGCATTTTAGGATTGTTGGGCCCCTTGGCTGGAATCAAATAAGAAATAATTTTCATTATCTGCTTCAGCTATAATTCATTCAAGAATATTAATAATACCACACTCATAAAAAATCACACTATGACAAATTCTGATGTGAAAACTAAAGGAGTATAAAACATTTATACATGTTTGTCTATTTAACTCTTATGTACTGTTAGGGAGGTTTTTATCCACTCTGGGGTCATTTTGAGTCTTAATTTGGCCATAACTTTTTCAGTGTTTCAGCTAGCAGAATGATTTTAATGACAAATCTTATTTTGACACATATATTAAGAAAATGCTTTGGATTTAATTTTTTTTTTACTTAATGATACACTCTGAGCAAATGTACTACCGTGTGGTTATGTTAGAGATGAAAACATCCACTGAAATAAACTGCTGTAAAATGCATCAGATAAACCTTTTTTAAAAATTTATTTGCACAAATCTGTTAATCAACCTCAGTCCAGATCAAAATTACTAAGTTGTTAAGAAATCTACAGGATTTTAACTCCTTAAATGGCAAATTCATAAATGATGTCATTGATTTGGTGAAAAAAAACACACAAATGATTACATATTTTCAATAATACAATAAGTAATTGTGGATTGGATTTTTTTTAACCTTTTATCACAATCTTGGACAGTTGAAACAACCGTGGGGCTGTTTTTGCCTCATTGGCTTCCATTATAACCACATTTTTTTTCATTACAAAACCATTACACAATATACATATGCATTTTTGATTTTCCCTGTTGAGAGGAGGTAAGTTTTGCAATTTTTACTGTTGATCATAAGTTGGTACCATTAAGCCTTTAGATACACCTGTGAAAAAAGTTTAGTTTCTGGATTTTATATGGAGTATTTATTCATTCATTCATTTTCTATTCGGCTTAGTTCCTCTATTAATCTGGGGTCGCCACAGCTGAATGAACCGCCTATATGCAGTATAAAAGCAAACTAAAGTGTGTCTGTGAGTTTGTGAAAGTGTTACATTGATGTGTCTAAGAAAATCAAAATATACATCTCAGCTCTCCGAACTACATGGAGTAAATAAAAACAAACATATATGCACCATCAAATGTGCTTATAAAGGAAGTCAATGGGCCAAAAACAGCCATCAACAATAAATTAGGGAAAAACTTTAAATCTAACAATGCATCAAAGCCAGTGTTGTTACTAATCATTCACATGTCTAAGACTGTAAAAAAAATCCACAACTACTTTTTATATTGAAAATAGGTCATTTTGTGTGTTTTGTGAGTAGTAAATTTGAACAGTGCACAAGAGTTAATGAATAAATAAATAGTTGGCTGTCTGAGCGGTTGGTTTTCAACCAAATTACTGATCTCACTTTGGCAGATCTAGTATTCGTAAGCAGATTATCCATCTCACTATGCACATAACAAGCCAGAGGATCCAGCTAATGCATCCTGATTAACTGACATTTTCTTTCAGTCAGATGTCAGAGTGGTCAGTAGACATCTATATTGTTTAAAAATAATGGACACATTATACTAAAGCACCCTGCAGCCCAAGACTGGTTACTCACTGAAGATAAGCAGAGCTGAGCCTGGTCAGTGGGAGACCAAATGGGTTGCTGTTGGAACTAAGTGGTTTTAGTGAGGCCAGCAGGGGTGCTCAACCTGCAGACTGTGTAAGTCCTAATGCCCCAGTAAAGTGAAGGGGACACAATAAAGCTAAAGATCTTTGCCCGAACCTGACAGGACCCGGCGGTAAAGCGCTAAACATCAAGCTGACAGGTAAAAAGACGAGGTCACTCGCTACATTGAAACCGCTGTAATGGGAAATTAAATGGATGTTCCTGGCTGGTAGAAGATGAACAAACAATCCTACCCAAAATTAGCCAGATCAGACCTATGCATCTAGGCCTGTAGCAGCAGCAGTGAAAGGGTGTTCGGTGCCGCTGGATGCACCATCCTGAGCACAGGACTGCGCTAAAGCAATTTACAGTGGATTCAATAATGTTCCTCCACAAAAACACGTAGCCTAATCTTGGTGAGTAAAGGGTTTTTAAATGATAAATAAATATTAATTAAACCATAAAATCATAATGTGGACAGAGTATACAGACTAATGTTGGCATTAGGCTATTCTTTTAATATTCTGCTTCACCGTCGCCTTAAGGCCAGATTGTGAAGAGAAGTGGCGAAACAAATCCCTCAGAGCCTTTATCTAAATTTTGTTATTGCCAAATACCCGTCATAATTTACAATTCATTTTAATTTAATTTGTTAAGAAAGACTTCTTTTCATGGGTGTGTTGGCCAATTTAAAGGCTAGGTGAATGTAGCTAGGCTTTTACACTCTCAGAAATGAAGGTAGAAGCTGTCACTGGGGGCTGGTACCTTTACAAAAGGTAAGAATTTGTACCTAAAAGGTCCATATTAGTACCAAAAAAGTACAAGTAGGTACTAATATATACCTATGAGGTACCAATAAGGACCTTTCAAGTTCAAATGTGTACCTTTTGAAAAGGCACCACACCCCAGTGACAGCTTGCGTACCTTTATTTCTGAGAGTGTAGAGCGCCGAGATGTTACGATGTTACAGAGGACTTATTTTATTTCTTTGTTCCAACTTCCAAGTGGCCTATAGCCTACGTTTGTTACGAATAAATTATGTTGAAACATATAAATGACTCATTCTTGAAAAAAAGGCAAACGAGCTGTGTGCCTGTGCACATTTGAATAATGTCAGGCTGTAAACGGGTTTGGCCTTTTAAAAAGCTGTCAATCAAAATGTCCCTGTCGGGCTCACGCCGAATTCTGTTGGGCTTGGGCCCTGTCGAGCCTAATTTTTATGGCCCAATTACAGCTCTAAGACACAACTGTCAGTGAGTGCCGTCTTTCAGATGTTAAACTGAGGTCCTGACTCTCTTTGGTTAATGAAACTTTTCATAAAAGAGTAGGGGTTTAATCCCAGGGTAATCGCCAAAATTCTCTCAATTAGCCCTTACCCATCATGGCCTCCCAATCATCCCCATCCACCGAATTGGGTCTATCACTGTCTCGCCACTCCACCAATAGCTGGGGTGTGGTGAGCCCAGTGACGCTGTAGTCCTGTGTCTGTTGTGGCGTACAGTCTAGGTACGTGGCCGGCCGGAAGTGAGATATGCACATAAATATAGCAGCATTTTTTTGTGATTCTATAACAATAATTAATGTTTTTAATAAATTAATATTTTTCAACAGTACATTTTTGTACTGTTGGGTCAGTAAGATTGGGTGTAGGATTGGGGTGCGGGTAGACAATAACAAAATACAATGGGAAATGTAAAAATAAATAATATAAATCATTCTCGCTAGCTTCTGCCAAAGCCGTGTGCGATCTAGTGACAACCCTGGTGTGGTGGTGGTGTGGAGAGACCTTCACATGATTGTGAAGTACTACAGTTATATTGGCCATACATGATAAAATGCAATATATATAAAAAATACGCATTTACAAAATAAATAATAAAAAAAATTGTAGACTGCAAAATGTGTGTTTAATGTATCACTTTGGCATTAAAGACTTCCAAACAGGCATACAATAATGCATAGTTTGCTCTAGCTGGCTCTATTTCATCAATTACAAAATAATATTATCTAATAATCATAATCATAATAATAATAATAAACGCCTTCGACTATCAACATTCCACACGCTTATATTACCAACTCACTGTTTTCCACTTTCTACAAACAAGAAAAATCCAGAATGAAATCTTCATTGTGGAAAAGAGAGGGAGAAGGGGAGAGAGAGGCGGCAGAGGCGCGTGCCTGATGACGCAGTCACTCTTTTTGCCGAGTATCATGGGAAAATAACATAGCAGGCTAGCACGCGCAGGAAGAGAGGAGAAGAACCGACACCTCCGCGCACAGAAACTATTCCCGTGCGTTAATATTCATATTTACCTCCCCGAACAACTACAAACCGGCGAACAGAAACCACATTTAACCGTTCAGCGAGTCGTGAAGTGTTCCCGGTTGTTGTTGTCGGTTTCATTTGTCGGCTTGTTGGATATTTAGCGCGTGTCGCTGTCGAGCGAGTTTGCGGAAGAGGTGGGTTGTTAAATGTACCTTTCATAAATCACCACAGGCATCCTGCCGTCTTTAAACCACAAACTATATGTTTACAACTCTATGAACGCTGCACGTGGTGTACATTTTCACAAAATAGTGAAAAGTCTGTCAAATGCGGGCGATTTAAATGGACAAGTCGCGGTTTTCGAGCCGGTTAAGTTGAGAGGGGACCGTCATTGCTGTCCGCTAGCCTTTATCTTGTCTCACCTCACTATGCATATCTATACATCTGCTCTTTGTGTTCGCATTAGGTCAACGCCGTTCCTGCTTCGGACGCCAAAGCCCAACGAGATTACATTCGGGGGATAAGCAGAAAGTTTTCATCACGCGAGGTTACAGTCGACGGCGGTGTAAATATGAGTTACAAGCCGATCGCCCCCGCACCCACCGGCTCCAACCACACTCCTCCAGGTGAGTTTCATTGTGCTCTCTGTTCATTCATTTTTACGTGCTTCTTTCATTTTGAGGTATTTTACGCCTATCATCTTTTTAAACGCCCCGTTTTAATCCCAAGGAAAGGGTCAGTGAACCTACAGTAAAAGAGGTCAGAGGCACGGATAAAAGGGGGAGGAGTTAAAGGAGCCATGGCCATCTGTCTTGCTCATTACATAAATGTGGTTTAACGTGCTGCTAACCGCGCCCTGCAGCGTTTATTTTTAAAACCATAACTGTTTCCCCAGTGTTAGTGTTGTGCCATCACATCTGTGTGTCCCAGTCTTGCCTCTGTTTCTCCTCACTTCCTTACACACACAAACACACTGGGTGGCAACGTTTCATTGGTCGAATTTGGCCTTTTGACATTTCCTTGATTTGTGATTGGTCTTTATCTTGTTCTCTGGTTTCAGGATCTTGTGGCTCTTCTCCATCACTGGCCTCCTCTTCAAACTTTAGACCAGCATTTAGTGACTTCGGTCCTCCATCGATGGGCTTTGTACAGGCATGTTTTGATGACATTGGGGTTTTTTTGCAATTTGCTGTATTGGAACAATGATTAATTTCAAACCTGTACATTTCTGTTCTTTTTGACACGACCAGTCAAAATTTTGAACTACGTTTTTCAGATGTTTTTGGAAAAGCCTCCTTGGCTCACTGTGGCTGCATTATTTAATGAATATAATATAATTGCTGTAATGTTGTGTTTAACATTTTTATAATACAATTTTATGAACAATTAACACATTTATATAGGCATTGGGGCATAAATGAGGCAGTGTATGTTTTGGTTTCATATTATGTTAAGATTAAATGTAAGTGTTCTTGTAATTAAAATATCCAAAACCCAGTAAAAGTGTTTTTTTGCTAACTTGTGTACTTGCTTTATCTCAAATGTTAAGTAGAAATTGAGAGAAGTGAGCAGTTTTAACTTGACACAACCGTGTCCAGTGTTGCCATGCTAATTATGTCATACATTTGGTGGCAAAGAGAGCTGAACGTGCTGCAATTTAAGAAACTACAAAAAACAAAAAAATAGCTATTACAAAAAACGGCAGCAAATTGAGAAAAGATCTTCATCGGTTTGACAGCACACGTGCTGCATTTTCGCACAACGCAAACAAATAATAAAATACGCTGCATTTTCACACAACGCAAACCTTTTACGACACAGTTTTTGGGTCACCTTGAAACATTTTCGTTGAGTCAAGTTTTTTGTGTTGTGAGCAAAATCAGTGCGTTTTCGTAAATTGTTTGAGTGTGACAAAATGCAGTGCGTTTTCGTATAAATTGTTTTATTGTAAAAAATGCAGTGCATTTTTGAAAACGAGTATGACAAAATGCAGTGCGTTATTTAAATTGTGTGTGACAAAATGCAGTGCATTTTCGTAAATTGTTTGCATTGTGAGAAAATGCAGTGCATTTTCGTAAACTGAGTGACAAAATGCAGTGCGTTTTTGTAAATTGTTTGAGTGTGTCAATGCAGTGCATTTTCGTAAATTGTTTACGTTTTGAGAATTCAGTGCGTTTTCGTAAATTGTTTGGGTTGTAAAAAATGCAGTGCGTTTTCTTAAACTGTTTGCGTTGTGAGAATGCAGCTGTTTTATTAATTTTTTTGTGTGAAAATGCAGTGCGTTTTTTATTTATTTATTTTTTTTATGTTTGCGTTGGGAAAATTCGCAGCACAGCTGTCAAATGGATAAGGATCTTTACTAAATTTGCTTTAGTAAATTTTGCTTGCATACTAAATTTATTTAGTATGATAAAACTGCTGTGCTGCTTCACATGATCACAATTTGGGGGAAAAAAGGAAGAGGCTGACTGTGGCATAATAAAAGCTCCACTGTTTTTCTGCTATGTCGCACTCTTCTCTCATCAGCAATTGCTTGGAAGTCCTAATTCCAAAATGTCATTTATTTCTTTAGAGGCAAAGCAGAATTTTCATTATCGTTATTTCAGTCATCAATGTGACCTGATAGAATCATTTGTAAAACAACATAATTATTTAAAATATTTGTTTGAATATTAGTTTCCTAAACTGAAAGTGCAATCCATAATTTAATATTTTAACATACATTTGGATAAAGATAGCCAGAATGCCTTTAAATTCCCCTAAAATTCAAAGTATTGAGCCATAAATTATAAATCTTTTTGAATAATTACAAACTTTTGATTTGTAGTGTTTATTACACTTTCTTTTTGTAAATAGGGTGTCACACAGACTTCCTCAACGGCTGTCTTGTTTTGTTTTTTGTAGCCGGTCAAAGTGTCCCAGGGATCTACCTATAGTGAGCTGCTCTCCGTCATTGAGGAGATGAGCCGTGAAATTCGGCCTACCTACGCCGGCAGCAAAAGTGCCATGGAGAGACTGAAGAGAGGTACTCCAAAGCCTTCTGAGCACAGTACAGCATGCAGCACATTTGTAACAGTCAGTGACGTTTAGCCCCCTGGAGTAATGTGAGCCTAAGGGCAGTCGAGAGAGTTGTTCTCAGTTTTTCAGTTCTGTGTTCGTGCAGTGTTGCTTTTGCCTGCTCTAAGAAAGGCTTTTGCATTTTACTCTGACTTATTGTTCCTAATGCTGCTTTGTGCCAAGCCTTATACACTACCTGACAAAAGTTTTGTCGTCGATCCCAGTTGTAAGAGTAAAAAAACTTGACCTCTGGTTGATCATTTGGAAAAGTGGCAGAACATCGATTTCTTTTTTTTCAGATGAATCATGTTTTGAACTGCATCCCCAATCATTATAAATACTAAAGATGACCTATTGGAATGCGCTTGGACCCACGATTCTCTCAGAAATCAGTCAAGTTTGATAAAGGAAAAATCACGTTTGAGGTTATATTCAGTATGGGGGCGTGCGGGAGATCTGCGTAGTGGATGACAACATCAATAGCGCAAGATATCAAGACATTTGTGCTGCCCGATACATTACTAAACCACAGAAGAGGGCAAATCCTTCAGCAGGATAGCGCTCCTTATACGTCAATCTCCACATCAAAGTTCCTGAAAGCAAAGAAGGTCAAGGTGCTCCAGGATTGGCCAGCCCAGTCACCAGATATGAACTTTATTGATCATGTCTGGGGTAAGATGGAGGCAGTGAATATGAATCCAAATAATCTTGATAACCTCTGGGAGTTCTGCAAGAACACTTTCTTTGCCATTCCAGATGAATTTAATAATAAGTTATTTGAGTCATTGCAGAGATGTATGGATGCAGTCGTCCAAGCTCTTGGGAGTCACAATATTACATACACAATATTAATTCTTTATAATAATTTCTTACATTTATATAGCGCTTTTCTAGACACTCAAATCGCTTTACACATTGGTGGGGGATCTCCTCATCCACGACCCGTGTGCAGCTTCCACTTGACGCGGCCATATTGCACCAGACCACACACCAGCTGATTGGTGGAGAGGAGACAGAGTGATGAAGCCAATTATGATATGGGAATGTTTAGGAGGCCATGATGAAGAGACCACATGCTTTTAATGACCACAGAGAATCAGGGCCTCAGTTTAACATCTAATCTGAAAGACGGAGCACACTGAGCAGCTGCAGTATAGAGTCCCCTTCACTATACTGAGGCGTTAGGACCCACACAGACTGCAGGTTGAGTGCCCCCTGCTGATCTTACAAACACCTTTTCCGGCAGCAACCTAACTTTCCCATGTGGTCTCCCATCCAGGTACTGACCGGGCGTAGCACTGCTCTGCTTCAGTGGTTGACCATGTGAGAGTTACAGAGAGCTCGCTGCTGGCTTTTTCCACTGCACCATGACTTTATATTCTATACTGGACATTATTTCTGTTAAGTGACAAGACTTTTGTCAGAGCTTATTGTCCTAATTAAATCATTAAAAATCAAGGCATGATCATATTTTGGTTAAAAAAAAAAGCGTAATCGAGAAGTTTTTGCTTTTCATAAAAGCCACTTCTGGTACCAAATGATCAATCAGAAGTCAAGTTGATATTTGTTGTTCCTAAAACTTGGATAAGCAACAAGACTTGTGTCAGGTAGTGAATATACATGCTTGGTGTTTAACAGTGATGGAAAAGGCGTCAATTTATAAGAGCTGCAGGCCTAGAGCACCATCTGCTGTTAAAAACTAAGCTCAGAATTGCTTCCAGACAGAATTTCGACATATCAGAATTGATCCATGAATCAAACTACACCGATTAGTCGTCCCAGCTCCTACAGTTAGTTCTGAAATTTTATAGTCTGAAAACCATTTTGGAAAATTTATATCAGTGATCAATGTAACATGAGGATGCACAATGCTATCACATTTAAGCAAGTTGCATTTTTCCTACAAACAATAACATTGACTAAGCACATATTTAAATAAGTACATTAACACTAGTTTTAATGTCAAGAGTAAAGCTGTGGTCACACTAGAGTTTGTGTGTTCAGAATTCTGTCCTGTGGCGATGCGAAAAGGGGCGGGATTAAACAAGATGATAAGACATGTTTTCATTCTCGATTGGTCTCACGCACTCAAGTTATGCGATTTCACACTTGATGCATGACCCTGCGTTTTCGGTCTGACATTCGGTCTGCATTTGCGTGCGTATGAATGGAAGTCTATGAGGAGAAAAATTTGTTAACCCTGGATAAATTGTGAAGAGTGTTCAATATTCCCTAAGTGTGGTATACCACCAGATGAAGCTATTGTACTCATTTATAATACAGTAATAGGCTGTAAGGTATATATTGTATGTTACTGTAGGTATATATTACAGATTAGTGACATATGCATTGCCATCTAATGGCATTGTTAATTTTTCTGCATTTAAGACTTTTTAGAATGAAAATATAAAAGCAAATGGACTGACATTGCTCAAATTAATAATTGAGTGTTTTTATTAGCATGAGGTTTTACTCAATGTGGCTTAATATGTGTTTGTGTTTTTCCTCAGGTATCATCCACGCACGTGCTCTCGTCAGGGAGTGTCTAGCGGAGACAGAGCGAAGTGCTCGCACATAACATCAACACACACATCCTCCCTCCCTCTGGTACTCATCTCCCCATTGTTCTGTCTCTCTCTGCCCAGCTATTTACAACACCATCTCTTTCTGTCTTTCTTATTGACCTTTGTTCCATTATGCATAGCCATCTCCCCGACGTACACCTCATGTAATGTTACTGCGATTAGCATAGACATTTTTTAAGCCCAATTTTTGCAATTCTGTATTTAAATAAAAAACAAAATCAAGCATTTTGTCTGATTTTTAATTCCAGAGAACAAGTGTTTGTTTTAGAAAGGGAGATGGGTGATTTTCATTCATTTTATTTGGCTTTAGTCACGACGTACATGCAAAATATAGATAAAAAGCATTATGAAAATGTTTATTTGTAGTGACATATATATAGGTATGAAAATGACGGTTCGTTAACCACACAAAAACGAGAGAAGTGGATTCTTTGACGTGCTATCATCACAGTGTTAACATCGTGTCTTACATCTTTGATTTCTCAACCTTAAAAATTAAGTATACATAAACAATAAGGATAATATCACTAAAATAATAAACATGATAAATATAAAAGAATAACATGAAAATTGCAGGGTTACATAGTTCAGTCTAGCGTTTTACTATCTTCGGATTGTCTTTCATTGTTGTTTCATTCAGACAGCCATTGGTCAACAGCACATTTAATGCACAGGTTTGAGTAATTCTTTCATCAGCTGTATTCAAATACTTACTATACAAATTAAGAAGGCAGTAAGCTGGTGTTCACCTCTTTTCCTGATTCATAGGAGTCTCAGATCCCATTGGTAACTCAATTAAAATGATAGTTCAGGAATAAATGGAGGGCCAGGCCACTCGAAACTAGATTTCAACAAAACATGAGGAACAATAAGCAGGTGACGCTTTACATGAATGTGAGGGATGAATTTTTCAGAGTGCATGTGCTCCAACTTCTCTCCTAAACATGGAAAATTGGAAGTTCACCTTTGTTTCAGCCCTAAAGAGACACAGAGAAGTGCAAAATATCACAAGTTACTTAAAAGACTTTTACTATATATTATTTGTTAGTATTTTTCCCCCTAATGAAACTCACTGTGGTAGCTGCAGCTGAGGCTTTCCCGCTGTAGCCAAAAAGGTTTTTGTAGCGCCCCTTCTCCTCTTTCTCTTTTTCCCGAATGCGTTCCTCCATCGCTCTCAGCTCCTTTGCAACAGAGGCTTCAAGTGATGGATCAAGTGTGAGCACTTTGGCAAAGTCAGCTCTGGCCTCTGCTTCATTCCACACCGCTGCATGAGCCTTCCCTCGTTTGAAGTACGCCTTCACGTTATCTGACAAAGACAAGAATGAGTACACCGTACAAGCAATAAGTAAACCAGTTGCCTTAATGTTTTTAAAAGTCATTTCAATTAACAATATTGTCAATAACTAATTATCCATGTATTGGTGTGAATGTTCTCTTTAGGCACAGTTCTGTTGAGTGCAGATCATTTTTGTGGGCATTTCCGCTGCATTCCATACCTAATACTTTTTTTTCTACCACCTCAGATGAGATTTCAATCAAACCAAAACATGACAAATTTACACTGCTGATCACTGATTGGTCCTAAAGAATTGTCACTACTAGTGTCACTAGACGCATGAGCCACCAAATGCGTATACAATAAATAGTCAGTAAAAGCCACTGCTCAAGAACACCAATCCACTAGTAGCCACTTTTGGCTCTGTGTTGTGGGTTGGTTTGTCTTGTGTGTTTGATGATGTCTCAGAAGTAGAGGCAATGCAACTATAGTGATATTCCCACTCACTTTAAAAGTTACTAAAGTACAGATGAAATGCAAACTGAGCTGAGCAAATTTCTGTGCAGTGTAAGGGTGCTTTTACACCTGCCTTATTTTGTTTGGTTGAATCGCACTAGAGTTCGTTTTCCCTCTTGGTGCGGTTTGTTTGGGCAGGTGTGAATGGAGCAATCGTACTTGAGTGCGCACCAAAAAAGCGTACCGATACCTGCTTGAAGAGGTGGACTCGGTACTGTTTCAAACGAACCCTTGAGTGGTTAGATTGTGGTGAGAATATGATCCGAACTAAAACAGACCCAACCACAAAAAGTACTGCACCATTTGGACTAATTCAGCTGCCGTAGGCCGATGCGCTGAGCATTATGCGATATGGAGGAAAAATATTTGTTGACAGCGCTTTACCAACAGAGAGAGAGAGGGAAAAACATGATGGATCGTTGGTAAAATTTCCGCAAGATGACCATGTCATGCAGTTTAGCTAAATTAATTCACTAAATTAATTGTTTGAATTAATTAATTAATTGTTGGAATTGTTTTCCAGCTGTTTTCCAGTCGTTTACTAGCTGGAGTTCATTTGCATTTTTCCGCACGTGAATTCTGACCAATCGATAAGCAGTTTAGGAAATTTTTTCAACAACATCTGGCCAATGAGAGATGTGGGTTTTGTCAGATGACTGCATTTTGGTTCTTTTCAACTGGTTCAGACCAAAGCCAGCAGTGTGGTGTGAAAACGACCCAAAAACGTCAGAAAATGCAACAATGTATCATTTATTGCTCTTGGTCCAGACCATATGAAGCGAACTACAGATGTGAAAGCACCCTTAAAGTGTCTTTTACTTATGGTGTGAGCATGTTCATGCTATGTCTTATTTGCATAATTATTTAGTATGTCGATTAACTTTAGTGTGTTTGTAAGGAACATGATAACAGTGTAGGCTTTGATACTAAAGTATTTACAAGTCTAAAGTCAGGCTGAACAGAAAAAAATAACTAATGCCGGGATCAGACTGCGTGATTTTAGCCCTGATTTTTGACTCTGCGACAGGTTTTGAGAAATTGCAGACAAATGCCTAAAATCACAGGCAAATCAGTGCTCCTTCACGTGAGTGACAATCACACAGTATGAAGTATCAAGAACACTATATAAGAGAATCGCAGATGAGTCGCCGACACCCGTGAGATATGTCATATTAAATATCTGGAGCTGTCACTGAATCAAATCATGCCATGTGAAATGTGTTCTGACTGAAAATAACAACCGCGTTCACCTGCAGCCAATGAGAGAGCAGCATTCACTTGTACAGGTACCTGCAGCCCAGGACGAGGCTGCAGGAGAAGTTAAAAATGCTCATTTTCAGTTTATTTGGACCCAAGAAATGGAAGAAAAACTAGTGTAAATTTGGCAGGAGCACTGTATCTGTTTGACATGTCATCTAAGCAATACCACAATCAGGTCAAAAAGTAAAAAAAAAAGGTTGAGAGATTGCTAATTCTCTTAAAAAGCCAGGTGAGCAACACACGTTTCTAAAGCTAAAGCCTTCTTTTTCCATTAAGTAGTTAATAACGAGACATTACATGACCTCGCGTTGTTTCCATGTCACTTCTCGTGTTTGTTTGTGAGACGCAGGCTGCGTCCGAAACGCCTACTACTCAGTAGGTACTGCATTTCAATTTAAACGTACTACTCGGCAGTTAGAAAAGTACGTTCTATGCAGTATGAATGTGAAAAGTATGAATGGAATTCGGACGTACTACATCCGCCATTTTGTCATGGTCACGTGACCTACCTGTGTCAGTTGCGTCGCTTTACTTCCATTCATGAATTCGCTCGTGGGGCATCATGGGATAGTGCAGCATGCATGGGATGCGCACTCCGAAATCTCGCCGGAAGTAGTAAGTCATCCAGGTACTTCTCGCATACTGATTTTCGAATTCTATGAATTCGGACATACTACTCGACTCGCATACTGATTTTGGCGTACTATATAGTATGGAAGTATGCGGTTTCGGACGCAGCCACAGTTTGGACAAAGTTGTCTGTGATTCTTCCTATTTTAAAGTCATGCTGTGTGAACTCTTCTGTCGACGATCCATCCTAAAGTGTGTACACAGCACCGACAGAACGCTAACCCAGGTAGTCATGTAGTGTGAAAACATCCGTGACACGAATACTTTCAAAATCATGCAGTCTGAACTCTGCATAAGTCATACTCAAAAGTTGAGGAATTGTACAGCAGGAATCGTCATTGATATTTAAAGAATCACTTTGGTATTTACCTTCATACTTGTTGATGATAGAAGAGCAGTGGTCCAAAACCTCATAGTACTGGCCCAGAAGAAGCTTACACTGGCAATAGTTGAGGAGGAGAGGAGTGATCATGAGATCTAGTTTGATCCAGTGCTCATCACCTGGACGCTCCTGTAAACAGGGGAGATGTTTAATGTTCAACCATGATTATTGTGATAGTCAATTATTCTCATTTGAGAAGCAAACATTTGCCTGTATATGTGATTTAGACTCCAAGGCCTGGAACTCTTAAGTGCAACAAAAGCGACGGTGTTATTGTCACACATTGGGACCGAAAAGCTGAGCAAACATTTGACTGTTGACCAAAATAAGAACATGCGTTCTGTGTGAGAGGATGCATCTTTCCATGCCTGCAGGTGGCAGTAGTCTGAATTGACATCCCACAAAGAAAACCAGAACTAGTGATGCACACATTCAACCATATACAAAGCAGCATCTCCACAGTCCTCTCTTTCACCACAGAGGGATTCCCTCATGCACACATATCTTATTATTCATATAGTGTGCAAATATTTCAGAAAGGCCACAGAATGATTGCTGGCTTCTTTTACTGCACTCCATTCAAAAGGGCTCATCCCTATGCAACAAGCAAACAATGCAAAAGAAATATGACAATATGATGCTGCGATGCCAGAAACTTGTATTATTGTCGGCTAGTGAACGAGTCGTTCATAACGGAGATTCATTCACAAATAAATCGCTCCCTCCGTCAGTATGAGAAGTGAAAGCAGGAGAGGAGGTGTGTTTCAGGACACGGATTAGATCAAATTTTAACAGGGAGGGTGAATAGTACATTTCTGTACACACAAACACAAGCTTTTTGTCAGGAATGCCTGTGCGATCAGTGATCCATCAATGTAGAAAAGTGATGTTAAATTATAATTTTCATAATTAAAAAAAATTGCATACTAACATCCAGAAAAACTCCCGATCATAGATATATGTGTAAATGTGTTAATATGAATAATCACTAAACATTACGTTTTGACACCTATTTGAACATTAAAGCGCTCGCGTTACTTACTTTAGTTTTGTGTGCTCTCTGCTCGTCACAATGTGCGAATGAGACCAAGTGCAGACCGCATGCTTCTGACTGCACGCCGCACATACATAAGCATGCGGTCTTTTGCGCTTTTAAGAGCAACAAGTGAGGACAACTGGACAGGGGGAGGTAAATAATGGAATAATCGTTTATCTCGATTAATGGTTTTTCATAATCGTTAGAAGCCATAATCGAAATCGGATTTTCGATTAATTGCACAGCCCTACTCTCATGACAAGAGGCAACAACTAAAAACCCAAACAAACAAGCCCAACAGATGATTACCAATGGTCTGATGCCGCCCAGTGGCTGACAGTCAGCTTGGTGTGTCGCATTAAAAGCCCTCGACTTATTTCACAACTCACCAAGAACTGTTGTTTTAGCTAATTATCCTCTTTTATCTTGTATTGTAGAAAACATCCACCAACATCTTAACAGCAAATGAAGAGAAATTGTTGGTTTTAGATGACCCATCCCTATAAACAGTTCCCTTAAAAGTAAAAAAAATTTGTTGCGAGTGCATTCTTCAGCAACCACATGTTTTCTTACTGTCACAGAGAAGGATGCCTGCAGATTTACTAGGAACAAACAGCAGGAGCTGCCTTGTGAAGGAACACATACAAACTGACATTCATTTAAACTAGGGATGCTCAAAATAACCGATTAACCGTTAACTGAAAGGGTGTGTTCGTAATCGATTAATAGTATCAGTTAAATCAGGAGAGTCTAAACTCGGTCCTGGAGGGCCGTGTCCTGCTGAGTTTAGCTATAACTTGTTTCAACACACCTGCCAGAAAGTTTCTAGTATGTCTAGTAAGAGCTTGATTAGCTGCTTCAGGTGTGTTTGATTAGGGTTGGAGCTAAACTCTCTAGGACACTGGCCCTCCAGGACCGAGTTTGGACACCCCTGAGTTAAACGATTAAAAATATGATTTTTTATTTGTTTTAAGTTTGGCTGCATAAGGGACCGATCACCGAATGCGCTTTTTTCTTTGAGAGGTGCATCATTTAAATGGTTTATCAAAGGCCACAAGTGTTTTGCGCACTTCAGTCGCGTTTGTTTCATTTTTCAATCAAACAAAAGCAGAGGCAGGGGTGACAGCAGTGTTTCTGTTGTCAAGACAACTACAGAGAACTTTAAAGGATAGGGTCACGCGGTGGCCATTTTGGAATAAAAATTCCAATAGAACAACAGCATATTGTAAGTCTGTAAAATAAACTAATAAAAGTGCTGATGATTGTGATAGTAAGTGTTGTATTGTCGTCTTTCAGGTTGAATCTTAGCCTTAATGCACTTTTTAAATAAATAAAAAACAAAGCAGCTGCTTTCAATCGCAACAGCAATAAGATCCAATGGACGGCCCATGGCTTTTACTTCAAAATGGCGGAATCGCAGGGCTGTTGCAATGGAACGTTCTATTGAGTGACAGCTCTTGGTGATTCTAAGCTCTTTGCTTGTGGTCGCTGTTTCAAGTTATCCAGAGGTGTACAACTTTACAAATTTTGAATATCACAATGTTATTAAATATTACAATTATAAAACCATCGACAGCAACACCCACGCACAATAGACCAGCTAATTCAGTCGTTTCCTAATGACATTAAAAAAAAAAAGAGCACCGTGCTTCTTTTTTTCTTGTCAACAAAAAAGGCAGTGTGGTGCACCTCGCGTTTTTGAAACGGAAAGGCACGTTCGCTGTGATCAAAATGAAAGAATATTGCAGTTTGACACAGACGAGTTGTTCCCATACCAGCGCTGATGCTGATAGCCTCTGTCCTGAATCTGCATCATAAACTCAATAAATAGACTAGAGTTTTGATAATTTAGTGCAAAACCAACCAATTTTACATTTAGAAGATTACAGTTATCAATAGTTCTTATATAATATCAATTTTTAAAATAGCCTACATAATCCATGAATCAAACAAATCCAAAGATTTGTTTGCTTGATTTTTGCTTATAGATAACTCTGCACCAAACTGAGGTTTTCACTTCACATCTAATAAAACATGTATAAAAATAATGTAATATAACATGTAAACAACAAAATTGTTATATGCTATAGTAGCCTATACTTTACGAAAAGTCAACATATGAGCCTTAAGGTTCATTGTCTTTCATCACATGCAGCTCACGCACACATGTACCGCGAGTGAGAGGGAGGAAAAAAGTCATAAACATAAGACATACACTTCTATTAAAAATGTTGACAGAGGTTTTGATGTAATACTAACAGCAGAGCATTAATTAAATGCATATTTTCAGTGGAGCGATAGATTTGAGGCAGCCTGATATTTTAATTTGAAATAAGAAAAAAACATGATTGGAAAAAAACAGCCGATGCCGATTCTTAAAAAGGATTCAGTCAGAGTTTTCATTTTGTAATCTAAATTTGTGCTTTAAGTGAAAAATTTCTAGGGTAGGCCTATTTATTTTATTCGTTTTGTTTAGTTTATTCTTTTTTTTCTGTATGCTGCTGTTCGCATGTTAAAATAAATCAGTATTTTAAAATGCAATATTTAATGTGTCAGACACAAAATAGACACAACAATTGTTTTTTAAAATTAAATAATAATTTAATATTAATCTGACCAGTTAACGGTTAATATTCGGTTGTCGGTTGGCAAAATTAACCGAAATGAGCATCCCTAATTTAAACAGATTCCAGCCTAAATGTCTGTCAGCTTTAGATGATCAAGATTTAATTGCTCTTATTAATTGAGAAAGTTATGCAGCACATATTCATGGAATCGTCCCTCCAGCTTACCTTCATCTGTAAGCTCTTCAGACAGGCGATGGCGTTATAGTATTTCTCAGCAGCTGCTGAAATATCTCCACTCTTGAAGAGTGCATTTCCCTCCTCATGGATCTGAGGTATGGCCCCCAGTTTCTCATCATCTGTCATTGCCCATATTTCCTGCTGGTAGGAGCCAGGAGACAAGACCTGGATGAAGGAAACAGAAAGACATCATAAAAAAGCTTCAAGTAATCACCAAAAGCTACTTTACATTAAAGTAAGTATGTTTGTAATCTCACTCATGAAAAATACAAATATGACGACATAATTGTTTCTCACCTGTAGCAATTCCAGGGTAAAGATCAGAGGCTGAGGATTGGTCTGCAACTTATCCAGATCATGGTGACCTAAAGAGTGATGCGAGTGAACCTGAGCGATCCCGCAGCAGTGTCTCTGTCCTTCCAGCGGGTCTTTTCCTTGGCTGATGTTTCGTAGTGACAGAGAAACCAGAGGGTAGAGAGCTGTGTGCTGTTACAGTACAAACACAAACAAAAATCAGTACTGACACGAGAAATAAACACATGCTGTGGAAATACACATTTATATAATCTAGTTTCCTATTAACAGTGATGTTTATATAATTAAAAACCAAAGAATAGAACGTTTCAGATAAAACACATATAGAATATCTTTGTATACATCATAATACATTTGAATACATTTGTTTTAGAAAGAGACATGTAGAACTTTACAAACAATACAGAATTTTTAGAAAGTAAATAAAGTCTGATAATGCTCATGACTGTCAATATAAACATCTTTTTTAACGTTGTTTATAACCGTTGTTTTTAAGATGTGTACATTTAAAAATGTTCTATGTTTTGTGTTCAGATCATCAGGTCAAAATAATCTATGAATATACATCAGTGTCTGAAAACTTGTGTAAACTATATGATCTTTTCCCCATAAGCATTCCCCATGTGTGATCTTTCCCTCATCTTTTCCATGCTGCACATACTTAAAGATATTCAAATTTATATATTTTTGTATTATTTTTCAAAAGCAATACAATAAAGACTTTTTTCCAAAAACATCTGTTATATCAGTGTCAGAAAATATATTTGGCTTTTTTATCCCTTACAGTATCTCACCCACTTTTGAATCTGAATTTTATTATTAAACTTAGCCGTATGCCTATTGCCTACAGACAGATCTTTTTACTAAAACTTTTTATATTTGAAAATTACTATTATGCAAATAAATATTAAGTAAAAATGATCATTTTAAAAGTTTTGTTGCAAATAAATTTATAGATTTTATAAGGTCATACATTTAAAGAAATTCAATTCAATTCCAGTCCATTCATATTTTTAGAAGACGTATTTAAAATTACACATTTTTTTTACATAAATATTGTTTCCAAATTCAAGAATAAATAAAACACATGCGGATTGCAGATAAACCATGGTAAAATGTTCACTATTGTACAAGTTGCTGTTTAAACACAATATGATTGTAGTTTTTGTTTCAAATGTATATTTTATTGAATGTTTTAGTGCAAAAACTTGTCAGTAATGTACACAGAGTAATAAGATAATATTCATCATTCATGTCATTTGAATCTTGAGCCCCACATAAAAAGCTATAATAAAAATAATAATAATTAAAATTAAGATGTAATTAAATAAACAAACAAACAAAAAAAGAAATAAAAGAAAAAATAAAGACATAAAATACAAAACTATTTTACAAGGCAGATTACTTTCCTTTTGTCCAGGCTGAGTCTAACAAACAAGCTTTTAGTCGCAGAGAGACTCAGGCCCCGTTTACTAGAATATGTTTTCATTTTAAAACTGTGTTTTAGGAAAAAAAAAAAAAAAAAAAAAAAAAAAATCGATCCACGTTCACAATGGCATTTCTGACAAGTTCTCTGTCCACACTACATCGCTGAAAACGCACACCACACACACACTCTGGCATGATCTGCAGTGTATGCACGTCAGAGCCCCAGGCAGTCAGCGGGTGCTTTGAGCACACCTCCCCAACTGAGAGCAGCTCACGTCGGACAGTTCATTAAGGATCTTCTGCTAAATTTCATCTCACTATAGCTGTTAGACATATTCTGAATGAATCTATTACTTGTTCTCTAGTAATGTGTATTGGCTGAGCGCATGGATAAGTTTATTAATTCATGTAACCACGTACACTGATTCTGCACATTTGACTGATTGCTTGCCTTTATTTCCTATATTGTAAAATGTATGTTTTGTATTTTTCAAAGAAAATAAAGGAGGCAGTTATGTTATAGGCTCCGTTTTGGTATAAATATGCATAAGTTGAAGATGAAAGTCATATAATTATGTAGCTACATGATGCCTCAACATTTTTAATGTCTGTTAAGTTAATATAAAAAACGAAAATAGGCATTTCCTTATATCATGTTCTTATTTTATTAGGTGAAACAACGTAGCCTGCAGGGTGATGTGAATGAGGTTATACAGTACAATGTTGCCTTTAAAGTGTCCTCAGGAATATGCTTTCCATATCAAACTTGCAAAGTCTGAACTTAAGGAAAGGGTGCAAGTCTGAACATTGTGCACTTAATATTGAGGAAAAAGACCCAATCAGATGTCTGCAGCTACGTCTCAGTTTTCAGATGTCTCCATTTCCCCCATTCACACTGATACAGAGCAACATCGCTTTACAATGAAAACGGCTCGAAAACTCCAGCGTAGTGTGGACAGAAGGCGTAACCGTAGCAAAACTTATGCATTTAAAACTAAAACATGTTAGTGTAAACAGGGCCTAAAGCAGGTAGCACACCAGAAGCGCCGCTCGGCGGCGCGCCGCGCAGCGCCACGTAGCGCCATGTATTTTAGAATTCTAAACATAGGTTTCTATCAGGATACACACACCGGCGCCGCAAGTCGGCGGCTGTCGGCGGCGCCCGGCGACGGCTCAGGACGCAGTTCATTTTTCAGCCGCGCCACAGAGCGCCATCTGATTAGTTTCATGTTAAATATCATTCGAATGTGCGCGTCTGGTGTGTGATACTTTAAACTGTCATGTACGCGCCGTGTCGCGGCGCGAGCGGCGCTTCTGGTGTGCGACCTGCTTAAGAGGTTCCTAGACAAATTTAAAAAATGATTCTAGATCTGATAAAATAGAAAAATATTTTTTTTTCTAAATTAATAAAGAATAGGACTCCAGACAGACCTAAAACACTGAATAGAAAATAAATACAGCTAGAAATGTCACTGACCTTAACATCACAAGTGAATTCAGCTATTTCCCCCTCTTTCATAGTGGTAACCACTTGCTCCCACACAGGAAGCTTAAACTTCTTCCCCAGTATGAGCTCCATGGGTTTACTGTGACCTCCCATCGTCCTGGAGTCATCCAACAAGGTGCCATCACACAGGCTAGTGCGGTAATGAAACTTCACCTTTCAGGAGAAAAAGGAATAGTAATTAACCAGTTATTAAAACATTCATTTTGTCAGACTTTGTGTAAATATTATCCAAGATCTTAACATTTAAGCATGAAAAGGCAAATTTTCAGACCCGCCCTCCCACAGAAATAATACTACTACACTCCCCCTCTGATCTGTGTTTCTTCTTAAAAAATAGCAAAATTTTCAGAGTTCAACCATGTTTATTTTTTTAGTGCACAGTTTTAGTCTTAATGTAAACAATTAATCAGTGTAAATTAATCCAAAAAAAATGACCCTGGTAATCAGAATAATCGTTTACACTTTTTAAACAGTTGACATGTTTTTATTAATGTTTGTATACAATACAGAATGTGAATTACATTGTTAATGTAAAAAGATCCAAGCGAGACAAAGAAAGAAAAAAATAATTCAATTTAATTCATGTTTATTTGAATAGCGCTTTGTTTTACAATATAGATTGTGTCAAACTAGCTTGACATAGAAATTCTAGTAAACTGAAAATGTGTCAGTGCAGTTTTCAGAGTTAAAGTTCAGTTTAGTTCAGTTCAGTGTGCTTTAATTTCACTGCTGAAAGTCCAAACACTAAAGAGCTAATTCGTCAAAATAACAGCTGGTTTATACTTCTGCATTGAGTGATCACTGTGTTCTCCAGCACCTGTCCTGTGCGTAGTCATGCATTTATACTTCTGTGTCCTGTTTGTGTTACTCTGCAATAACACTTCCAAAATGTTAGCTGGCAGAGGGTTTATATATTTCTCTGTGTTGTTTTTCTTCTTGGGTCTTTTATTTTTCTGAAGGCTACCTTAATATACAAGTAGCTAAAACTCGGATGTTGAACCGGCAGACGTGCTTTTAGTAGAGGCAGATTCACAAGAACTACAGCCAGACAGAAACTGCGGACATTTACTGCTATTTCTGCAGAGAATTTAGTAAAAATCTGGGAATTTATGCAGAATGATTTTGGGAGTATAAAAAACTTAATATATGAAATAAAAAGTAGTACCTTTTAAACTTTTATTTTATGTTTACAATGCAAATCTAATTAGATCCACTTAAGTCTCTTATAATATTTCTACTATAAGACAGAAAACTCACAGCTTACCTTACAAACTGTATTGTAAATAAATCAAGTAAACTCTGTCATATTAGTCAATATTATTACTGAAACTAGAAAAGTATAGTTCCTAGACAAACTTTATGGTGTCTTGAGTAAGCTGAGTCTGAAAGTTTGAAGTAGTTTTAAGGTTTAAAGAATTGAAGTAGTTTTAAAAAAGTTTGAAACAGCTGGCATAGACAGATAAGTACATATGTTAGCATGTTTCTCGTATGGATTGGCATGTTTCTTGCTATGGTTGCTGATAGGGGGTTCTGAGTGGTTGCTAAGGGTGCTTTCACACCTGTGAATCGATTCAGTTGTTCCGAAACAGAGATTAAAATTGTTACATTGTTGCTCTTTGCTCTTGGAGCGGTTCGCTTTCACATTGCAAAGTTACTAATCGGACCAAAAGAGCTAAAACAAGTCACGTGCGAGTAAACTCTCCTTACATTGGTCAGAGTGTCAGGGTTTATTTTGCAGCTTTCCGCTCAGCTGTCAGGAGAGGTGGTGGTTTGGTGGTGATTGACAGGGTGCGCGCGCGTGACGTGTCTGAGGAGAGACACGGTGGGGAGGGGTGAGAAGGGTGCGCGACGATGCCTATTTGAGGACTGGGAGAGAGACGCGCGATTACCGGGAGATCATCACTCGTTTGCGGGCATCCGGAGACTCGCGAAACTTCCCGCCATACTCATAATTCTCTCTTCATATAGCCGTAAGCCTATTACATATCCATAAAACACTGTGATATAACTGCGCTCGGATCGGATCGCTTTCTCACTGCAATCGAACCGCTCCAGGGTTCGTTTCAATCGAGCCGAGACCACCTCATTTAAGCGATCTCGGAGCGATTACTTTGGCGCGGAACAGAGCGCGATTGCCCTGTTCACATATGCCAATCGAACCGCGCTAACTGGGCAAACGAGATACGTTCCGAAACAAAAGTGTAGGTGTGAAAGCACCCTAAGATGTTGCTAGGGTGTACTGAGTGATTGCTAAGCAGTTGCAAAGGCGTTGCTAGGTTGTTCTGAATGGTTGCAAGGGTGTTGTTACTAATATATATATTGCTAGCATAAATTAGCATGGTTCTAGTATGAATTATCATGTTGCTAGCATAAATTAGAATGGTTCTAGTATGAATTAGTATGTTGCTAGTATATAGTAAATTGTTAGCATGAATTGGTATGCTATCTAATCTAAAGTCAATGGCAGTTTTTTTTTTACAATAGATGTCTATGGGACAGTTGCTAGGGTGCTGTAAGTGGTTTCTAGGTGAGGCTAGTAAGACGAAAGGTCATCAGTGATTGGCAGATTGGTAGTCTGAGTTAAATGAGCCCAACCTTAAGTCTGTATGACAGTCTTGTGCAAGGTTATGAGTTTGGTGCAATGTTAAGTCAATGGGACTTAATTTTCTGGGTCAGTTTTCGGAAAACTGTATGTCAGATCAGTTGAAAAAGATAAAGCAACCCGGGTCAGGTGGTTGTACTATGAGCGGCCTAGGAGGAGATGCATTTAGAAATTAGCCTCAGAAGAAGAAGAATATAAAACGAACGTAGTATAACAGTATATTAGCTTTCTCAAGCCACCATAATTAATTTTAAAACTGAATAAATATAAATTTGCACACATTTACACAAGTAAATACTCGATGGGCTAAAAATCTATGGAAATTTGCAGATTTCTACAAGCGCAGGTTCCGTGTGGGTCTAATAACAACCAAAAAATAAGCCAATTGTTTACACTTTTTAACAGTAAAACCTCGATAATGACGTCAATTTGACTGCTTGGGCGAAATATACTTGGCCACGCCCCTCCTGTAAATTAAAGCTAAACACGGGAAAAATAAAGCTCCAGCCCCTACTCAATATTGACACTAGCAGACTAATGAAAGTGGACAGAGTGATTGATAAATACCGAAAAAATGTAAACAACAAAACCAGAGATACACACATATGCATCCTTTAAATTACAATAATAATCTTTTATTAAACAATTTAGCAGTTTCGTTCAGTTTATTAAATAAATTGTTCTATTAAAAATAAAAAGGTAAATATTTACGTATAGGGCTTTATATAGTTAATAATAACGACGTCTGTAAAATTTTGTATACAAATATATTTCACTGAGCTGTCAGAGTGGAGGAAGAAACTCAGAAAAACACACACACAGACACATCCTGTTTTCAAGACCGCGTTGTAATATAGCATCAGGTATCCATCCCGATGCTTAGCTAACGGCTAAATCTCACTACCTGGCGCTTCCTTATAGAAACAGCACCTCAAACAACTTCAAATCTGACAGGATTTTAGCGATATATACTTTACATCTCACACTACACGACCTGTGTGTCATTTTCGTGAAACCCATACCCGTATTACCCTACAAACTCGCGAATTCAGCTATGTTAGCTCGCTGTGTCTAGATTTTGACACTTTAGAGATTGATTACTGTTACTTTTGTTCGCCCTCTCGATATTACATCGCAGTAAATGTGTCCAGAATGTTATGTTACCTTTGTTCCATTAGGGAACGTTGAAAGCTCTCCTTTTCCCGGAGAAATGACTTTTTTCTGGATACCCTCAGCTCTGAGCTTGATAGCAAGTTCCTCCATTCTTGTCGAAGATGTAGAGCAGTGTTGCCCTGTGGAGTGTAGAGGGCGCTGCTGCGGCGGCGACTCACAACCTCGGGTGTACGTCATATACACGTCAGTTTACTTCATAAAAACAAGCTATAATCCATAAATTTCTAGCTTTTTCTGGCTAAATTTTACACCCATAAATGTACATTTTCAAAGAAACACTTACGGTTTTAATTTTCCACAAACGATTTTGATTCTTCTTACAATAATATAATTATATTGCATTTAAAACTCCTTCTTGGTGTAAATCTTATAAACTGGTATAATTTGCTGGGATTTATGTACTTTTTTTGTCTTTTTGTTCTGGGTCAGATAGAATTTCTGTGTGGAGTTTGCATGTTTTCCCAGTGTTCATGTGGGTTTCCTTCAGGTGCTTCGGTTTCCCCCACAAGTCCAAAGACATGCGCTATAGGTGAATTGTGTAAGCTAAATTGGCAAACTATGTTTGTGAACGAGTGTGTATGGATGTTTCCCAGTACTGGGTTGCAGCTGGAAGGCCATCCGCTGCATAAAACATATGCTGGATAACAAGACGGTTCATTCCATTGTGGCGACCCCAGATTAATAAAGGGACTAAGCCGAAAACAAAAATAGGCCCCCGTAAATAGTGGAACGCTTCCTTCATACTGCACGTGCAAATATTAAAATCTAATTACAAATATGGCTAATTAACTGTACGTATACTAACTTTGTAAAGTTGCTATTTTATTTATCAGTTTATTGTATTTAATTTTACATTAAGAAAATAAAGGTTTCACCTAAAATATATTTTAAATGTAGTTTATTTACAAAAAAACCCCAAAACAAAGCAAAAACAAAAAATGAATCTACAGAGGAAAGAAATATCTATAGAGTAAGAGTTTTAATGCCAGAGCCCCATTCCTGGTATTGCTTAGAGCTCCTAAATTACTAAGTCCGCCCCTGACTATGTGTTATATGCGCAAGTTCCATGTTTAACAAGTGAAATGATCTGAAATTAAATTTTCCTCAGGATAAAATTATTTCAAGCTGTGTTGTAATGGTTTACAGAAATGCACAAGTAAAAAGACAAAACAACCTTATTATTTGTACATTGTAACATTGTTTCTCTATATTTGACTTGTTATGTGCTCATATACACATTTATACACAACAGAAAATTTTGCTTACCCAATTCACCTGTACCACATATCTTTGGACTGTGGGGGAGACCAGAGCACCCGGAGGAAACCCACGCGAACGCAGGGAGAACATGCAAACTCCACACAGAAATGCCAACTGACTCAGCCGATTCTAGAACAAGCAACCTTCTTGCTGTGAGGCGACAGCACTACCTACTGTGTTGCTGCAATATTGAGTTACTCCCAAAAAATTAACTAGTTGCGTTACTTAGTTACTTTTTTATGGTAAGTAATGTTAAGTTACATTATTTGAGTTATCTTTGCGTTACTTTTTCTGACCTGGCTGAGGCTTGATCTCTTTCAGAACTTGTGAAGAAGATTTTATTCTCTGTGTGAAGTATTTTTAAGTGTAAAGCAGTTAATTTTCTCTTCTCAAAATGTATGTAGTGTTTGCAGCAAACATGCCAGCGTGTGTTAAAAATACTGTGTAAAATGAGTATGCCTGCACAGGAGCAACACTAGGAGAAGGCTATGCTGAAGAATTATTGTGTAGAATAACTGAATATGTAAAGCACTAATTATATATGTTAAATACTTGTATATGAAGCTATATGTGTCAGAAGTTACCATGAGTAACAGGTTATCAAGTGATTATGCTATCATGACAATGTATGTAAACACTCAGTCCTTTTGCATAAGTTGCATCTATGGAGAGAGAACTTTGGTTTCAAAACAGTTGCTGACATGACATAGACTTGGCTGTGACATCTCGCTGACCATAGCAAGCTGGCAGAGAGCCAAGAATAGCAGGACCACTTAGAGTAGAAACCTATTAAAAATGGTCAAGAGTTAAAATGAGACACCTAGGCGTGTGTCAAATAACCTGTATAAAGATTGTGGAAAACACAGAGACTTTAGAAAGAGTAAGAGAAAGAGAGAAGGAATGAAAGGAATTGTCCAGGAGAGACTTCAGAATACTCTGGGGTCTGCTGTGCTCTTTCTCGGCTTTATTATGGAGAATAAAGTCTATTTACTGATATTCAAAACCTCCTGTCTGATAATTTCTAATTGATGAAAAGTCGAATTACGACACTTGCAGGAGTTTTTTTCTTCTTTTTTTAATGGAGGAGCTCTGCAATTAACAACACACTGTATAATCTGCATTTACCTTTAAAAAACACATAAAAAATGAATGTAGGATTGAGAACTTCCTGACCGTATATACAGATTAATGAAAGATTTTTCATTTGCTACTTTTGTACTTTTTGTCTTATTCAAACATATAATCAGTGTCCATTCAGATTATCCTCTTTTCCTTTTCTTCTGTGTTCAAAATAATGAGAATTTTCAACAAGACTACAATCATTTTAATTCAGCAATTTATTTTTTTTAAAGTGAATTAACTAAACTATTACATTTTTTAAAAGTAACTAAAATATTAATACTTATCTTTTGAAAGTATGTGTTACTGTACTTGCTACTTAGAAAGGTAATATTATCACATAACTTGGGTCACTTGTAATACTTTTTTTTATAATTGTGCTCACTTTTAGTATACTGTACAAATCTTGATGCCTTTTTTATTCATATTATTTTGTATTCTCTTTAATAGCAAATACAGTTTTGTTCTTTGATCAAATGTAAGAGACTTATACTTAAGAATATGAATAACTTATTGGTACCTCCAAAACATGAGAAAAACACATTCATCAATAGTTAATAACAATAAGTTATAAATCAAAAACAATGGTATAAAGAGTGTCATGTATAAACAGCATACATCTAAGAATTACCATTACCATTAGAATGTAAAATACATAGAATGGCTTCATCATGTTTATATCTCAAATACTACATTTACATGGAGGCTTACACACTTCAAATAAGTCACAAACAAGTCGTGCTTTCAAAAAGCCTCAATCTTTATTATTATTTAGTGTTTTTAACACAATACCTAGATATTTAAATGCATTCCATCAGTTATTTTGCTAATGTACAGGCAAAGTATTTCGGTGCATTTAAACAAAACAGGTATATTATTTAAAATATTTTTTTAGACACAGAACATCTTTAGAAATTAAAAGATAAAACTATTAAATTCAAGATAAATACCGCAAAAAAAATTAATGACAACTTTTTATAAATCCAACTTTTTTTTTTTCTTCTGTTGATTTTCCCTCTTTGTAAAATTTATATTTAATGTTTTTCTATAACATATTGGGTGTACTAGTTTTTTAACCGCTATCGTAACTTTAGATAAGCTCCAGATCTGGCTTCAGTACTGACTAATCTAATGTATATGCACAAATATAATATTGTATAGCTTCCTTTTAAAAATATGAATTTAAAAGAGAGATTTGTGTAATCATATATGCTGAGCATTGTATACTGCAAAAATGAACTGTATAGTCTTTGCTAAAAATATCTATTAATTTTGGGGGTTTCTCAGTCCAATAACACAGCATGCCAGTCGCCCTCCAGCGTTGCCATTCAGCAAGCTTCCCACATTCCCACCTCTGCCCAAATCATCCTTTCCCTCATGAATGACAACAGACCGGCCGACTATTGAAAGTTTCCCAAAGAGAGTTGCAGGGGATTCCAGTGACTGCCGAATCTTCTTGTTAACGGGCACAAAGTTGCCAAAGTCCCCTGGATGTTGTGGATGGTTGACGTTGAGGGGATTGTAATGCCCACCTGTAGAGTCGCAGCCCCTGCTTAAGTCTCCATACTCATGAATGTGCATGGCTCTGGGCTGCTGACTGTCCGCAGGGAGACCATAGAGCCTGAAAGTCACGCTCAGCTTTTCCTTTGGGCCAGACTGTCTGAATAAAATGTGACCATACACACGAGGCATGCCAGGCTCTAGTCGAGTGTTAGGCTGCATTCTGCATACGGCCTGAAGGGAATCACTGTTTGAAGCATATGCCAGACCTGAGCCTGATCCACAGAAGAGCACATGGCAACTGAGCAGGAATGCCAGAAGGGGTAAAATGTTGAAGCGTATCATGTCTTCACCTTAATCAGAGAATATTAAAGCCAGGTCAAATGACATGAAGCATCTCAACGCCATCATCGTCTCATTAAACTCTTTGCAATGTTGAACATGGACTATACTTTCATTAAGACACAAATGTGTAGTTAAACATTAACTTTAATGGTTTATTTAATCAAAGAATAAAATACCACAATCCACCACATTGCTATTAAACAAACATTTGTTAAAGGACATTTTATGATGATGTAGTCTACAGTGAATTCATATATTTGTTTAAAAGATTAAATACAGCACTTACTTTTTGTGTTCCGTCACTAAAAACTGATTTTTAATGCCAAACGTGTTTCTTTGTTGTTGGTCCTTTGCGTTTGAAAAGCTTATGGTTGCTGTTTTATACTTGCATAATGCAGGGGCGTAAACATTCCATATTTAGTAAATTACAGGGTCTGAACATGTTGAAGAGATCAAATTTCATGCCTGCCCATAATTCGTGTGTGTTCTGAAATTACAGCTGTAAACATGTGAAGTTTAGATGCAAAAACTTCTAAATGCCATCTGAAATGTTCCATTAAAATGAGCATTTCTGTCAGGCTCCTGTGTGTATGTTCAGTAATATCACCTTTATGGCAAAGATTAAGTGCTTTTCCTGGTCTTTATTGTGAAATATCTCAACATAAACAAAGGAGGCTGAGAAAAATGTTCATTTTCTATGGAAATTTCAGACGGTTTTTGCATCTGAACTCCTCATGTGAAAATCATGAATATAATACAGTAGCTTTTTATCTTTTGCCTACCAAAATATTATAGCAGTGAAAATAGGTTTACACAAAAATTGAGTGTGAAAATGATAAACGCAGGTCCAAAGCCAGCCTCTTATTTCTCAAAAAGTGGATCTATTTAATTATGAGATATAAATACTGATTTTTGGTGACATTTTAAGCACTATCTTTAGTTGAATTAGCTTGTCGGATGGCCGTTACAACCAAAAATATTTCCTAAATATTTAGAATAAAGAAATATGACAAATATTTATTTTTTAAACCAAAAATTATTAAATCATATATTGTTAGAAAAAAGTTTAAAAAAAAATAACTGTAACCTGTTGTAATTTATTAGACAATTAACAAACTGGCTAGCACAGCTAACTTTAGTCAGTCAGAATTTGGCCATAATTTAATAATAAAATTAAATAGTTATAATAAAATGGTGGCACAGCAAGAAGGTTGCTGGTTTGAACCCCGGCTGGGTCAGTTGGCATTTCTGTGTGGAGTTTGCATGTTCTCCCTGTGTTTGCATAGGTTTCCTGCGTGTGCTCATGTTTCCCTGTAGTGTATGTGTGTGATTGAAAGAGTGTAAGGGTGTTTCCCAGTGTTGAGTTGCAGCTGGAAGGGCATCTGCTGAGTGAAACAAATACTGGATAAGTTGGTGGTTCATTTCGCTGTGACGCCGCTTGATTAATAAAGGGACTAAGCTAAAAATAAAATGAATTGATAACAATAACATTAGGGCGAGGCAGTGGCGCAGTAGGTAGTGCTGTCGCCTCACAGCAAGAAGGTCGCTGGGTCGCTGGTTCGAACCTCGTCTCAGTTGATGTTTCTGTGTGGAGTTTGGATGTTCTCCCTGCCTTTGCGTGGGTTTGCTCCGGTTTCCCCCACAGTCCAAAGACATGTGGTACAGGTGAATTGGGTTGGCTAAATTGTCCGTGGTGTATGTGTGTGTGGATGTTTCCCAGAGATGGGTTGCAGCTGGAAGGGCATCCGCTGCGTAAAAAACTTGCTGGATAAGTTGGCGGTTCATTCCGCTGTGGCCACCCTGGATTAATAAAGGGACTAAGCTAACAAGAAAATGAATGAATGAATAACATTAAAACATACTACTACTAATAATAATAATAATTTAGAGCTTCACAATTTTTCTAGCCTCTTTCTTTCAAAAAAGTACTTTTGAAAATTCATGGATAACAACAATAGCCAAAATAGTATTCAAATTGATTTTAATATGGGTCATTTTTGGTGTTTCACACCTTTTTATTGGTCATGTTTTCTTAATAAGGTTTTAGAAATAATATTTACTTGTCAAATGTTTCCTCTATTTAAAAACAATATAGTATTTATATGGTTATATCAGATGTTTTATTGAACAGATGTGTGTATAGGTGTGTTTGCATGTAGCAAGTTTATATGTATGTGTTGATAAGCAAAGTTTGATTTAAATTCTACATGGCACCTCATAGTGTTTCCCAGTGATGGGCTGCAGCTGGAAGGGCATCTGCTGCATAATACATGCTGGATAAGTTGGCCGCTGTGGCAACCCCAGATTAATAAAGGGACTAAGCCAAAAAGAAATAAAGAAATGGCACCTCACAGCTGCATGTTGAATTCTCGAAAAATAATTGTTTGCTTTGTTCAAAACTGATTAGCTGAAGTCACACTAGGATTCCTCTTGATCTTAAAGCCTTTTTCGATGGGTTATTTGTATAATATACACTCACCAGCCACTAATACACCTTAGGTACATTAGGTACACCTTACTAGTACTGGGTTGGACACCTTTTGCCTTCAGAACTGCCTTTATCCTTTGTGCCGTAGATTCAACAAGGTACTGGAAATCATTCTCAGAGATTTTGGTCCATATTGACATGACAGCATCACGCAGTTGCTGCAGATGTGTCGGCTGCACATTCATGATGGCAATCTCCCATTCCATCACATCCCAAAGGTGCTCTATTGGATTGAGATTTGGTGACTGTGGAGGCCATTTGAGTACAGTGAACTTATTGTAATGTTCAAGAAACCAGTCTAAGGGTGCTTTCACACCTACACTTTTGTTTCGGATGTATCTTGTTTGCCCAGTTAGCACGGTTCGATTGGCATATGTGAACAGGGCAATCGCGCTCTGTTCCGCGCCAAAGTAATTGATCTGAGATCGCTTGAATGAGGTGGTCTCGGCTCGATTGAAACGAACCCTGGAGCGGTTTGATTGCAGTGAGAAAGCGATCCGATCCGAGCGCGGTTATATCACAGTGTTTTATGGATATGTAACAGGCATACGGCTATATGAAGAGAGAATTATGAGTAGGGCGGGACGTTTCGCAAGTCTCCGGATGCCTGCAAACAAGTGATGATCTCCCGGTAATCTTGTGTCTCCCTCCCGGTCCTCAAATAGGCTTTGTCGCGCAGCTTAGCCTCTCCTGACAGCTTAGCGAGATGCTGCAAAATAAACAAAACACTCTGACCAATGTGAGGAGAGTTTACTCGCACGTGACTCGTTTTAGCTCTTTTGGTCCGATTAGAAACTTTGCAGTGTGAAAGCGAACCGCTCCAAGAGCAAAGAGCAACAAAGTAACATTTGTAATCTCTGTTTCGGAACAACTGAATCGATTCACAGGTGTGAAAGCACCCTCAGATGATTCACGCTTCATGACATGGTGCGTTATCCAGCTGGAAGTAGCCATCAGAAGATGGGTAAAATGTGGTCATAAAGGGACGGACATGGTCAGCAACAATACTCAGTTAGGCAGTGGCGTTGACATGATGCTCAATTAGTACTAATGGGCCCAAAGTGTGCCAAGAAAATATCCCCACACCACCACCACCAGCTTGAACAGTTGATACAAGGCAAGATGGATCCATGCTTTCATGTTGTTGATGCCAAATTCTGACCATACCATCTGAATGTTGCAGCAGAAATCAAGACTCATTGTCCAAATTTGTTCTGCCTGTGTGAATTGTAGCCGCAGTTTCCTGTTCTTAGCTGACAGGAGTGACACCTAGTGTGGTCTTCTGCTGCTGTAGCCCATTTGCCTCAAGGTTGGACGTGTTATGTGTTCAGAGATGCTCTTCTGCATTCCTCGGTTGTATTAAGTGGTTATTTGAGTTACTGTTGCTTTTCTAGCTTCAACCAGTCTGGCCATTCTCCTCTGACCTCTGGCATTTGCGCTCACAGAACTATTCTGTGACTATTCTGATATTTTTTCTTTTTCTGACCATTCTCTGTAAACCCTAGAGATGGTTGTGCATGAAAATCCCAGTAGATCAGCAGTTTCTGAAATTCTTAGACCAGCCCATCTGGCATCAACAACCATACCATGTTTAAAGTCACTTAAATCACCTTTCTTCCCCATTATGATGCTCGGTTTGAACTGCAGCAGATCGTCTTGATCATGTCTACATGCCTAAATGCATTGAGTTGCTGCCATATGATTGGCTAATTAGAAATTTGCATTAACAAACAGTTGAACAGATGTACCTAATAAAGTGGCCGGTAAGTGAATTATGGCATAGCAGTCAACATAGGACAAATAAGCTCATGTATGGGACATATTTTGGATCTTTGTCACTGAGGGTTAGGCCTCCGAACCACCCAAACCCCCCTGGCTACTGGCCTGAAACGTGTGTCTAAAACTAACAACAAAAGTTATTTTAAAAAGGGTTATGTTTTAATGTAGACCTATTTGATAAAAATATTATTAAGCTTTTAAAATATTACGTGTAAAGTCTGTTTGTAGTTGTTTTTTGCTTGTTTAAGCTCGTTCAGTTATCTCGTTTGTTGTTTGGTGGTGACGTGTGAGCCTCATTTGCATATCTGAAGTTTTCACTTCAGGACCTGGTAAGTCCGTATATCGCGCTATAGTGCTTCTAAATATATTGTACATCTCTTTGTGATTGTATGTCACACTATTCTATAAAGTAATACCTTGGAACAAAATATAAATTTATAACTCAGTGTCACCGTCATACAGACGCATGGCTCACTTTCGATGTGTATATATCTTGTGCCGCCCGCCCCATTAGTGCGCATGCCTGAAAACTTGCATCCTAAGCTACGCACGGGGAACGTCGTTTCGCCATCACTGCTTAGGGGAAAGTCCCCGGACACTGGGCAGAGATGTCCTGCATACAGCGCAGATCAGTGGCTTGCATTGCGTATTCATGCTAAGACGTCCACGTGACTGAGCAGAGCGCTTAGCAAGCCATGTTTGTCAATAAGATAGTTACGCAAGTGTCGTACACTCGTACTTCTACAGAACGGGGCTCATTCTCAGCATACGCATTGTTTTGAACGTAACTAATAATACTGGATGACATTCAATTGAACAACCGTTCACATTTTATTTGATATGCTGAATATGCCTAGTAAATATTATCCAATGTACAATATTAAAAGGAATTCCTAAAAAGGTTAGTTTAGTCCCTAGTTTAACATTCCTTTAACTGCCATTTTGTATTATACTGTCATGTTTGAAGTCTACATTTATTTAATAAAAATACACTAAAATAATACACATCAATACCAGTTAATATCATTAATAAAACCAGTATTAATACCATTAATACCAATAACATTTCACAATAATATTTTGGTATAATAATAATAATAATGGTAATAATACTGGTTTTATTAATGGTATTAATGTGTATTAATTTAGTGTACACTATATATTTTACACTATATAATAACACTATTTTACACTTTATTATTTTAAATACTATATTATGAAATGCTCCTGTAAATGAAAATATGATAAATTTTAAAGTTTTGTTACTTCATTTTTGCCAGTGATAGAAACAATCTTACAAAGAGCATTTGTGATATTAAAGATGTGGCTTTTTTATTTTAATCAGCAATGAGCAATGTTGTTATATGCAAGATTGTATTTATAGATAAATCTTATAACTTTATTTTCATCAAATAATCACGAAAATAAAAAATAAATCATGGTTTCCACAAAATATGAAGCTCAAATTATGTTTGTTCATAAGTAAAATAATAGTTATACACTGTAAAAAAATCCTGGTAGCCTCATATTGTTAAGCTGAATCAAATCAATCTTATGAGTCCATTGAACTTATATTATTCGTTCATTTTCTTGTCGGCTTAGTCCCTTTATTAATCCGGGGTCACCACAGCGGAATGAACTGCCAACTTATCCAGCATGTTTTTACGCAGCGGATGCCCTTCCAGCCACAACTCATCTCTAGGAAACATCCACACATACATTCACACACACACTCATACACTACAGACAATTTAGCCTACCCAATTCACCTGTACCGCATGTCTTTGGACTGTGGAGGAAACCCACATGAACGCAGGGAGAACATGCAAACACCACACAGAAACGCCAATCAACCATGCCAAGGCTCGAACCAGCGAATTTCTTGCTGTGAGGCAACAGCATTACCTACTGCGCCACTGCTTCGCCATGAACTTATATTATGTTAAACTGAATTAAAACAGCTTGTGTAACTGATAGAATTTAAATTAGAACTTGATTAGCTTAGTTAAGTAAGTTACTAAGAACTAAAAATATATGTTGTCATGGCTAATTATTCATAATATTTTACGATGTACACGAGAAAGCTGATATCAGTATATTAGAAAGATTTCTGAATGATGATGACTGGAGTATTAATGCTGTCAATTCATTTATTTTGTCACAGGAATAAGTTAAATAGTCATAATAGTGTTTTTAAATAGTAGGGCAATTGGCAAGCAAACCAGACTTATTCCAAGGCATTCATATTTACATTTTGACTAATAATGTAGCCTGTATTTTATATTGATGTGTTATATTGAGTTTTTATATTGTCAGTCTTTGTGGGCTGGGTCATTTCTACTATTCGCTGCCATTTGTATATGGTACAGAATATTTAAAAATGCATAAAAAAATCCTTAAAGCTTGTCTGAGAGGATTATCCTTTTCCACAAGAGGACACACAATCATAAGTGTTCAAAATTAAATTACATTTAAAATATTTCTCTAATTTCAGTGCAGGTAGCTGAAATGCCATGTCCCAGGTCACGTATGCTCATGTTCAGTTACAAATAGAACTTATAAAAATCAAATAAATACGGTTTAAAAGATACGTGTAAACAAAACAGTGTTCATGAAATCTTAAATCCAGTCTCCTTTATACATAAAAGTCGGTATATCTTTGACACCATTTGTGGCATTTCCGGTCCTGCAATTTCTGCCTGCATTAAAGTGATGATTTTCGCCATTACATCATCTCATTATCAACAATACCTTCGTTAACTCGACGACGTTGCTATAACATGCTGTGCTCGTATGGTTCCGTCTCGCTTTTAATGAATCGAACCTCCGCTTCCATATGATCCGTGGACGCGCCCAGCTGATCCCGCGCTCCGCCCACATCCCAACATCACCGCCCCCCATTCGCTAAAGCGCCTGAAAATGCAAAACGCGGCATTTTATGGGTTGATCCTGCGCATGCGCAGTCTCGATAGTTTTGTTTGAAGGAGTTCTCGTAGCCAGAGAAGACTGAATTTGGAAAGAGTGGCTCTCCACAAGGTTGCCAACTAACAACATAATTTAAAGGAACCTATGAGTGCAACGCACCAAATTTCAACCCGCAGTTCTTCACGAAAAGCCGCATAGCTGCTTGATGCATCGCTATCACCATGTTAGGGCATTATCCGAATGTGGAAAAATCGCAGCTTGTCAACTACGTGGAGGATTATTTGGAATGTGTCGAATCGCTGCCTTTGGATATACAGAGGAATGTTTCATTGTTACGAGAAATCGACACCAAGTATCAAGGTAAGCGAAACGTTTGTGAGCGGTGCCAGTACGGTGGGCTGTCTGTTTATGCACATTTCCATCGTGTGCAGTTCACACTACAGACCGGTTTCGTTTCCATTTCCCCACAAAACGCGTTTTATTCATCATTCAGTAGTACTTCCGACGCTGCCCACGCCCGTTTTGTTTAACAAGTATTTTAGTCTTCAGCATAGTCGGCTATGTTTGTTCCAGCAACAATATCCTACCACCAGTGATCAGCCATTTTGACTAGTGCATACTCTATACTGTTGTTTGGCTGAGCTCTTTCTTAACGCATCGCTTTAGTTGCCATAGTATCGACGTAATGGTGCTTTCAGTCGGCGTGTGTGTTTTGTTCGCGTGTAGCCGAAACATCTACAACATCTCGACCCATTGTAATGCCGCCGAGTTGACTTTTACAGCTCGCACATGAAGGTTATCGTAAATTAATTGTTTATTCGAAACGGGAACCGATTCATTCAGTGCTGCAAAGCACCGTTTAGTTCCTCATGTTTGTATAAGCACGTACGGCTGAGCAGGTAGGCTGACTGTACGGTTTTTTTGTTCCAGGGCGGCAGGGGTAGCAGTAGAGCAACACCACAAACAGACCACTGTACTATGTTAAAGTGCTGCTTTGTAAAATGTGTTAAGCTTGTACCATCAATTTCCTAACATCCCAAACATGATTTTCTCACTCAGAGGTCCTCAAGGAGGTGGATGAGATCTATGAAAAGTATAAAAAGGAGAGTGACAGTGGGCAGCGCAAGCGGCTGCAGATACAGTTGCAGCGGGCGCTCATCAGCAGCCAGGAGCTGGGGGATGAGAAGATCCATGTGGTCACCCAGATGATGGAGGTGGTGGAAAACCGTTCTCGTCAGATTGAGGCCCACTCACCTTGCTTCTTGGAGCCTGGAGATGTCGAGAGACCACCGGAGAAGGTAAGGCATGACCCTGCGAGCACCTCCACCAATGTGATGCCCGAGCGCTCTTCGGCGAGGCGGCCCAGACGTCAGCGCAACAGTGAGAGCCGAGACACTTGTGCCAATGGAGCTTTAGAGGATCTCGGCGAAGAGCCTCCACCACAGCCTCGTGAGAAAAAATCCAAGTCGGCCAAGAAGAAGAAACGTTCGAAGGCCAAGCAGGAGCGTGAAGCCTCCCCAGTGGAGTTCACCATTGACCCCAACGAGCCCACCTACTGCCTCTGTGAACAGGTGTCCTATGGCGAGATGATCGGCTGCGACAATGAGCAGTGTCCAATCGAGTGGTTCCATTTTTCCTGTGTTGGACTCACCTACAAGCCCAAGGGTAAATGGTATTGCCCCAAATGCAGGGGCGACAATGAAAAGACAATGGAGAAAAGTGCTGATAGGGCCAAGAAGGATAGGCGGTCCAGGTAGTGCCTTTTGTGAAAAATATGCCTGTGTGGGGATCGGCGGTGTTCGTGTTTAACTTATGTTAAAAGGTTCTCCTCATGCACTTAGCTAAAAAGTTTCCGAACAGGTGCTGTTGTTGCTTTTGCGTTAGGATGGACAACGACCAACAGACGTAATTAACCCTGGAAACACAGATGTTTTAAGATACTGCCACTAATGTCCATAAGACAGGGAAGAGTTCTTTCTTTTTTTTCCAGTAAGACTAAAGAGGTTAAATATGTTAGGTCAGCAGCACCCAGGTCAGGGTAATGCTGTCAAAAATAACAAGCAAAGTGTTTCAAGTGCACAGGGTTTGATGAACAGTATGTCAGCATCTTTCCTTTGCATTTCTTGTTCTTTCGTTCCACATTTTAGAAAATATATATCAAAACACACCTCTGAAATGTCTTCCAGTGAGAGAACAAACTCATTTTCTTTGTAAATGTTTTGGAGTGATGTTTTTGTTTAAAAAAAATCCCTTTTTTAAGTTTCAACTATTTAAATAAATGGGTGCTTGTTATGTCTATACATTCTTGTTGTTATTGTGTCACATGGGTGTGAAATGGATATATTAGATAAAAAAAAGAACAATAACAATTAACGTGCAGTACTATACAGATGCTTAGGGAAAATAGATTGAGAATTTAACAAATATTTTGATATACAATCTCAGGGGGTCATGGAGGGTCAGTGTCCTGCATATTTTAGTTCCGACTTCAATTAAACACACCTGAACCAGCTAATTAAGCACTTTCTAGGTATACCAAAACTTCCAGGCAGGTGTGTTGATGGAAGTTGGAGCTAAACTATGCAGGAAACCAGCCCTCGAGGACTCAGTTTGGACACCCCTGTACAATCCTGTTTTTAAAGTAAAATAGCTAAACATTTCCATGTTTGTTTGTTTTTTTTAATGAAAATGACTGAATAAAAAGTTGAATTTATTATATAAACATCCAAGAGCAGAGTGTGCAGAGCTAAAATAGTCAATAGGTGAAACATTTTCTTTTATTTTTTTTAAACTAGCGATGTTTATCCTATTTGTGGTTTTTATTATTCTTTAAAAATCTAGAAATTTGCAAATAAAGGGAGCTTTGACCGGTATCTAAGAGACCATCTAATTTTAATTTTCCTGTGAAAATTTTGCCATAATGAGGTAGGTTAATATATTAAGTTTTATTTTAAGATGTTGATCATGAGGAAATATGTTAAAGAGATGGTCAAAAGTGGAAATTTCCTCACCCTTTATTTACAAGTGGTTCTAAACCAAAGATGCCCAAAGTTGGCCAATTGTAACCTTTAATTTTGCCTATGATCCCATCTGAGAATGAGGGCAAATGCCTTTAACACAGAGATCATCGTTTCTAATTTAACACAACATTCTTTTGTTTGTTTTAATAATGAGCTAGGAAAAGAGCAAACTGAAATGAAATGTTTCAACTAAATGTTGTAAATCAATCTGATTTGTAAAAATGTTAACACTCCACTCAATGGAGAGAGAACTATGAAGAATACTTGGTTAAGCAAATCAAGGCAAAAACTAGTGTAATTATGTTATACATGAGATTTTGTTTTTTCTTGTAATATGTTTATTATAAAAGGTATATTTATGTTTGTATATATATATATATATATATATATATATATATATATATATATATATACTGTATCAGTTAATGTAATGCAATGCTTTCTAGTAATTTTTCAATATCATTAAATAAATTAGGAAATTACTCATGGCAACTATTTACCTTTGGCCCACTAGCCTCAATCAAGTTTATGTTTTGGTGCTTTGTAAGAAAAGGTTTGGGCACCCCTGATCTAAATTTTATGAATTTCTTCTGATGAACACAAAACATTTTGAAGAATGTAATAAGGTAAAACCTACTATAAAAGTAAATGGCTTTCCCCCCCAGCATTTTTCAAAATATCTTCTTTTGTGTTTAAGGTTGTGTTTGAATCGTGTAAAAGATGAGCTAATGATGACAGAATTTTCATTTTAGGGTTTACTATACACAATGATTACAGCTATATCTGTACTAGCATATACATCACATTCTGTGTTTTATTAAGCAATTGCACTGCGCAAAAACTGAAGCAAATCGATGATCACATCAAATCATGTATTATTATTATTATTATTACATCTAACTAAATGTCCTGCCACCAGATGTCACCATAAAGGCATCAGTGGTTCAGCTTTGGCTTCAGAACCCAAATCGAACTTTCCTAAAGTTTAAAAGAAAGTACTTTTAATTAAGAGCTCGGTGTACTGTAATGCCTGGAAGAGAGGCTTTAAAATAATTGTTGCTAACTATTTATATGTGATGAATTTAAACAAACAACTGAAATTTAGTTCAATTAAAATGTTCAATTAAATCTGCTTGTTTAAATTCAGCCAAATAAAATTGTTTACAACCACTTCAAAAATTAAGTAAATCCAAGGGATCATCTTTGAATTTTTTTTCTGTGACCCAACATAGGCTGTTCCGTCACCAGTTTGGTCAAGCATTATAAATGGTGATCATTAGTTGTCAATGTATATTTATTCTGGGTTACACAGTAATCAGGATTACTCTATAACCCAGCATTTGTTTAGTTGGCATTTAAATTATCTATGAATTCAGCTGTAAGTTAATAAGTCTCTACTCAAGTATTGAACCTTCTAGTGTGAAACACAATTTGTTTCCATCATCCTTTTGTTCCGTGTGAAGAAATACCTTTTTATCCAAACAATTGCAACCCTGCAGGATTTTAAAAACAATCCTATCTTGTTCTTTCTATAGTCAAACCGCTAAACAAGAGGAAACATCCTGGGAACTTGGGAACCGAAAGCTGACACTAATGCTTGGGTGCCCTTGGTCTTTGTAGAAGTTATTTGAGCAAGGCCTTCGAGAAAAGAACCTCACACAAATGTGAACAAGGCCAAATTCTTTTCAGATAACAATCAACAAACCCATGAGCCCTTGTTGTGATGCAGATGTTATACAAAAGCTATAGCTATCAGCTACAAAAAGAACTTTTTAGTTAAGGATGTCTGCTACGTTTGACTGGGATAATCCATCGACAACTCACTAACTAAATATTAGCATATTTACAGAAACATACATTTAGCTTAAAAGACTATCATGAACACATTTGTATTTATTTACACAAAGTAAATGATCTTGGTTTTATCTTTTAATTTCTTAAAATTTTTAAAAAAGTTAATTTCTTACATTTCTTTTAAAATTCTAAAAGCTGAAATTGACAATATTAGGGCTGCATGATATTGGAAAATCTGGCATAGCAATATATTTTATTTTGCTACAATATATATTGCTATGACTATAATTCCACCATATGATTTGATGAGCTAAATTGAGGAAGAGGTATTTTAGATCAAGTCTGGGATGATCAAGTGCATCTATAATATTATACGAAGAGTTTAGGTGCAAATATCTCTAAGTGCCATCTGAAATGTTTGTCTTAAATTAGCATTTTTCTCAGGCTCCTATGTTGTGATTCAGAAATTTCACTTTAATGGCAAATGATAGGTTATTTTCATAGTTTTTTTAGCATGGAATAACTGAACAAACATAAGAGGCTAAGAAAAATGCTCATTCCAGAAGAAGATTCCAGACGGCACTAAGAGGTTTTTGCATCTGAACTCTTCCTATATAAATACAACAGAGCAAAAATAAAAATTAAATAAACACTGCTTTATGGCGTTCTCAAGTTAGAAATTGAACAATCAAATGTAAAATAACATGGCCATCATTGTGTAAATAATGTCTAAAAATAATATTTAATAATATAATTATATAATTTAATCTTCAGTAAGTAATCTAATCCTGTGATGTGACTATTGCGGATGCACATATTGCAAAATCGATGCGCAAATGTGTAACGGTGGACCTAGCCCAAACCCCAGGTGGGTTGACTTTTTGTTTTGGGGCTAGATGGAGTAAAACTGTCAATATTACAAATTTAACTTTAACCCAGATAGCTATAAACCACCGACTACAACTACACTAAAGATAACATAAACAAAATACACAACGTATATACACAAATTCACAATTTGTTATTGTTCAGCTTTAATAATAATAATAAACACATTTGCTAATTTCATTCATTCATTTTCTTTCCGGCTTAGTCCCTTTATTAATCAGGGGTCTCCACAGCGGAATGAACCGCCAACTGGAAACAGGAGAACTCGGAGGAAACCCATGCGAACACGGGGAGAACATGCAAACCCCTCACAGAAATGTCAACTGACCCAGCCAGTTTTACAGTACTCAGTACTGGCTTGAGTTCTCTTCATTTATCGGGTTTTACTGTGCTCAAATTGCTTCATTTATTCAAATGGATTAAGTTCACAGTACTCATTAGAATTAGTTTTTGAAGTTAAATGGTTTGTTGCAACCAGTTTCGTCAAATGGATTGAGTTACCTTAACTGTTTGGGTTTTACAGTGTAGTAACAATTTTCATCAAGCAATTTATGAGTAACATATTGTGTGTGTGTGTGCAAAGGGAATGAACCGGTTAAACAAAACACAGACAAAGCCTGACCTCTCATGGCCTCTTTATGGTCCACCCAATCATTCTCCTTCCCTGAAAAGTGCTGAAAACTGCTCTGTGACCGCCGGCTCTCTCTGCTCTCCCCATTCTCCCATGTTCACCTGTTGCAAGGAGGCTCTTGTACTGACTGTACTCGCGATGTTTTGAAGGCCGCCTGTAGGTGGAGTCAGGAAAACATCTGGTGATCCGCGCGCTCTCCGTCGACACGTCCAGACCATAATCCGGCGCACCGGACACCAGGCGCACGGCGTCAGAGTCGAGAGCCCGACGCCTCCGGAGACGAGTTCACAGAGCGCGGTCAGCGGGACAGCAGAAAGCGCACCGACGGCGTACATGCAGTGTACGAGACCGACTGGGAGGCAACCTCGGAGTGCACCAAAAAAGCGAAGACATGAATAAGAAGGGATGAAGTCGTTTTATGCGCGGAACGTCCAGCGATCATCACCGATGAATGCAGTGATCGATCAAGAGGCCCCGGTGCTGGAGGAATCGGTGTCGTTCGCTTTCGGCTGTGTGTGCAGAATGTCGCGGGAGAGGTGTGTGAAGCGGCAGGTTGAGGTCTATTAAAACAGACAGGCTGAGCAGAGCAGAGGCATTGGTCATTCAGCTCAGCCGCTCTGCCCATCAGCGCAGCGCCTGGTTAACATTGCCCACCGGAGCGCTGGCATCGGGCTATGGGCTCACCGCACGGAACGCGTGTTTTTGATGAATAAATGACATTGGCGTCTCTGTCTTGCGTATCATGCTGGTGGACCCTCCGCCGTCACGCGCTGCGCTTCGGCTCCTGGAAACAAACTGAAATACGTTGCAATGTGTTCGTTTTGGCAGTTCAATAAGGTGCGCAATAAAACGCCGTGTGAGTGCCGCGGAGCGTCGGACAGGGTCGCGATCCCCGCTGTGGCCTGTGTGTGAAACGCGCCGGAGAATGGAGAAGTTCCTGCAGATCGCGCCTCATTCCCTGGCCATCGTGCTGTCGCGGGTCAGCGGGGAGGAGGCGGCCGCCGCGGTCACCGAGAAGCTTCAGCACCATCACACCGGCTACGAGATATTCGCCGACTTCAAAGCGGAGAACATGCAGCACTTCTGGAACAAGAAAGTCACGGACGCCATATCGGAGACCTTCTTCTTGGGCTGGATAGACGAACACGTCCTGCTCATTCAAGGCAAGGAGGATCACCTGGAGGTCCTGAGGGAAGGCTGGACGCGGAGGGCCCTCAAACCACCGCGGGGCTTCGAGATCAAGTGCATAGGTAAGCCCGAGCCACTGGATGCGCCGACAGCTGTGGGAATGAAATCAGTTGGTTTTGAGGAGTAATGTGATGTGGGTAAGGGTGGTATAGTGTTGTGGTTTTACCACACTCTGATGTGTTGGTGTTGAGGCTTGAGAGAATATGCAAACCTTATGGTGGGATATGCAGAATTGTGATGTATTGTGGCTCTCCAATTGTGTGAAGTTGTTTATCTGCTAAAAAGTAAATGATCTACACTTTAGTAAGGATGTGAAAATATTACAAGAAAGTCTCCTCATATTCTACAGTTATTATTACAGCTTTATTGTGATTTTTGGTTCAATGAATCTTTACCATCCATGAGACCTGGATGTTTTTCAGATTACACTCAAAAAAGGTTAAATCTAATTTAAAATAAGCTGAATCTACACTAGTACTGAGTTTTTGGGAAGATAACTTTACTGTTTCATGTTCAATCCACTTAGTTTTGTAAACACAGCTAAGTTAACTTACTCAATTTGTGATAGGACAACATGATATGTGTGGAGCCCAGGATAGTTTAAACATTTTTACATTTAAAAGTCTTCACAATAAAAATGGTTCTTGTACTGTTCATTGAAAGGTTCTTTTGGTTAATTGACATGGAAAACCTCTTTTTAAAATGTTACATTTAACTGTATAATAACTATTTATAAGTGTATAATAAGTGTAAAGTAATTGTTTGTAAGTGTATAAGAAGTGTATAATAACTTCATAAGTGTATAATAACTACTATTTAATATTATTAATAGTATAATAATAAATATAATAAAAATTATAATTAAACACAATGTTTTACTTTTAAAAAGTTTTAGAGAAAAGTATGAAAGTATTATTATTTATTACTTAATATTTGCACAAATAAAATTGCACATATTCATTACACTACACTGCACTAATTAATATAGAATTGTACATACCAACTGTACATACAGTTGAAGTCATAATTATTAACCTCCCTGAATTATTAGCCCCCTGTTTACCCCCCCCCCCTTTTTTTTTTTCTTTTTTTTTGGGGGATTTTTTGAATTTTTAACACATTTTCAATCATAATAGTATTAACTAGACAGTAAAGTTCGTCGAGACAAACTTTGAGGCTGGCTTGACAAAGCCTGTTGGTAATAGTTTATTTAGTTTAAAAACAGTTTGAAAAAGTATAAGTAGCATGTTATTAGCATGATTCTAGCATGAATTAGCATGAATCTAGCATCAATTAGCATGTTATTAGCATGAGTGTAGTACAAATTTGCATTTTATTAGCATGATTCTAGTATAAATTAGCATGTTATTAGCATGCTTTTAGCATGAATTAGCATGTTACTAGCATGATTCCAGAATAAATTAGCATGTCACTAGCATGATTCTAGTATGATTTAGCATGCTACTAGCATGATTCTAGTATGAATTAGCATGCTACTAGCATGATTCTAGTATGAATTAGCATGTTACTAGCATTATTCTAGCATAAATTAGCATGTTACTAGTATGATTCTAGCATGAATTAGCATGTTACTAGCATGATTCTAGCATGCATTAGCATTTTACTAGCATGATTCTAGTATAAATTAGCCTGTTACTAGCATGATTCTAGTAAGAATTAGCAGGTTATTAGCATGATTCTAGCATGAATTAGCATGATTCTAGTATGAATTAGCATGTTACTAGAATGATTCTAGCATGAATTAGCATGTTACTCGCATGATTCTAGCATGAATTAGCATGTTATTAGCATGATTATAGTATGAATTAGCATGATACTAGCATGATTCTAGCGTGAATTAGCATGTTATTAGCATGATTCTAGCATGCATTAGCATGTTACTAGCATGATTGTAGTATGAATTAGCATGTTATTAGCATGATTCTAGTATGAATTAGCATGTTATTAGCATGATTGTAGTATGAATTAGCATGTTACTAGCATGATTCTAGTATGAATTAGCATGTCACATAGCATGCTTAAGTGGTTGCTAGGGTATTCTGAGTGGTTGCTAAGTCGTTGCTAGGCAGTTGCTAGGGTGTCCTGAGTGGTTACTAGGTGGTTGCTAAGATGTTGCTAGGTGGTTGCTAGGGTGTTGCTAGGTGGTTGCTATTGTGTTCTGAGTGGTTGCTAGGTGGTTGCTAAGGCATTGCTAGGCGGTTGCTAGGGTGTTCTTAGTGGTTGCTAGGTTGTTGCTAGGCAGTTGCTAGGGTGCTCTGATTGGTTGCTAGGTGGTTGCTAAGGTCTTGCTAGGCGGTTGCTAGGGTGTTCTGTGTGGTTGCTAGGTGGTTGCTAGGGTGTTCTGAATGGATGCTAGGTGGTTGCTAAGGTGTTGCTAGGCGGTTGCTAGGGTGTTCTGAGAGGTTGTTAGGTGGTTGCTAAGGTGTTGCTAGGTGGTTACTATGGTGTCCTGAGTGGTTGCTAGGTGGTTGCTAAGGTGTTGCTAGGCGGTTGCTAGGGTGTTCTAAGTGGTTGTTAGGTTGTTGCTAAGGTGTTGCTAGGTGGTTGCTAGGGTGTTCTGAGTGGTTGCTAAGGTGTTGCTAGGTGGTTGCTAAGGAGTCCTAAGTGGTTGCTAGGTGGTTGCTAAGGTGTTGCTAGGTGGTTGCTAGGGTATTCTGAGTGGTTGCTAAGGCGTTGCTAAGCGGTTGCTAGGGTGTCCTGAGTGGTTGCTAGGTGGTTGCTAAGGTGTTGCTAGGTGGTTGCTAGGATGTCCTGAGTGGTTGCTTGGTGGTTGCTAAGGCTTTGCTAGGCTGTTGCTAGGGTGTTCTGACTGGTTGCTAGGTGGTTGCTAGGCAGTTGCTAAGGTGTCCCAAGTGGTTGCTAGGTGGTTGCTAAGGTGTTGCTAGGTGGTTGCTAAGGTATTCTGAGTGGTTGCTAAGGCGTTGCTAGGCGGTTGCTAGGGTGTCCTGAGTGGTCGCTAGGCCCTTACTAAGGCATTACTAGGCCGTTGCTAGGTGGTTGCTAGGCGGTTGCTAGGGTAATTTGGGTGGTTGCTAGGCAGTTGCTAGGGTACCCTGGTTGGTTACTAGGCAAGCCTCACATACATGCTTGATAAAACATTTATACTTAGTAAGCATTTCTAGCAAGTTACAGTACTTGGCTAGTCAATATTAGCATGTAGCTAATCACTGCTAGCATGTGTAGCATATAGGAAGTTCCGTTTGCTAGCATGAGTCAAACAAGCCAATCTCCAAGTCTCTACGATGTTCTGATGCTGGGATATAGCTGTTGATGAATGGTTGTTAGGGTACTCTGTTTTGTTGCTATGGGCGAGGTTACAGCGTGAACTTGAATGTGGTTGGCTGTCTAAGTCAAATGAACCAACCCCCACGTCTCTGACACTGCTATGCAAAGATATGCATCTTGGCCTATTTTAATGGAAGTCTATGGAATCAATTTGGGGGCGTGGCTTGTGAGCTTCATTATCATATTGAGATGCTCATTGGTTGTCTGAGTCAGATGAGCCATCCCCCAAGTCAATAGGACACTGCTAAGCAAAGATATGCATGTAGGCCAGTTATTAACGTGAGTCTAGTATGAATTAGCATGTTACTAGCATGATTCTAGTACAAATTAGCATGTCATTAGCATGTTCCCAGTATGAGTTAGCATGTCATTAGCATGATTAGCATATGAGTAGCATGTTGCTAGCATGATTGGCATGTCATTAGCATGTTAGAATTATAAGCATTTAATAGCACAGCTAATTACAGTCTATAGGACAGTTGCTAGGGTGCAGTATGTGGTAGTTAGGGGTGTGGCTAGAAAGTTAAAAGGCCATCAGTGATTGGCTGCTGGCTAGACTGAGTTAAATGAGCTCAGCCATTAGTCTGTATGACAGTCAGATGCAGAGTTATGAGCTTACAAAGTTTGATCCCATGTTAAGTCAATGAGAGTCTTTTGAATGGAAGTCTACGGGACAGTTGCTAGGGTGCAGTATGTGGTAGTTAGGGGAGTGACTAGAAAGTTAAAAGCTCATCAGTTATTGGCAGTTTGGTAGTCGGAGTTAAATGAGCTCAGCCATTAGTCTGTATGACAGTCTGATGCAGAGTTATGAGCTCATAAAGTTTGATCCCATGTTAAGTCAATGAGAGTCTTTTGAATAGAAGTCTATGGGACAGTTACTAGGGTCAAAAAGTGGTTGCTAGGGCGTGGCTAGAAAGTTTAAAGGTGATCAGTCATTGGCAGTTTGATAGTCTGAGTTAAATGAGCCCAGTTAGAAGTCTGTGTGACAGTCTGACGCAGAGTTATGATTTCACAAAGTTTGATCCAATGTTAAGCTTATGGGATTGTTCCGACAGTCCCGGGACGTTTTTCGGAAAACCGAAAGTCGGATCAGTCTGAGGAGATATAGCAACACGAGTCAGAATAGTTAGGAGGTCTGGAGCGAGTTTGGTGGTAATAGCTCAAAAGCTCTAGGAGGAGATAGAGTTAGAAATTTAGTCTCAGAAGAATAATAAAAAAAAAAATAATAACAAGTTTAAATAGCATTTCAGTAGTCTGGCTTTGACAAGCCAGCCTAATAACTCATCTCTAATAACTGATTTATCTTTGTCATGATGATAGTAAATTATATTTTAGATATTTTTCAAGACACTTCTATACAGCTTAAAGTAACATTTAAAGGCTTAATTAGGTTAACTGGACAGGTTTGGGTAATTAGGTAAGATAATATAATGATGGTTTGTAATGTAGATTATCGAAAAAATATATAGCTTAAAGGGGCTAATAATATTGACCTTAAAATGGTGTTTAAAAATTAAAAAACTGCTTTTATTTTAGCCGATATAAAACAAATAAGACTTTCTCCAGAAGAAAACATATTATCAGACATACTGTGAATTCTGATTTCAACTTTGTAATTATTTTCATATCTATCTCCATACCTCTGATTATTAATAGCAACCTGTACATATATTCATCTATTGTAAATCTCTTTTCATAGTTGACACAACCTGTATATAATGTTTATAGTAAATCCATCTGTAAATATCACCCTAGTTTTTTCTATAATTGCACTTTACAACTAGCA